ATTTTATATTATCATCATCAGCATTATCCATCACTGCGTATCAACCACGGTACCCTTCATCATCACCCCATCATCATCATCACCGTCAATCACCCCATCATCATCATCCCATCATCATCGTCAATCTCACTCAGTTCTGATGTGACTCTTCAAGAGAAAACTCATAGATATTTCAGAGCTCAGCTCCATTAACAACACATGTAGCAACAAATACACATGCACACATACTCACAAACACATATACACACGCATACACATACGAATATACGTACATAAATACTCAATTGCAAACACAAATTCACAAATACACACACATATTCCCACATGAACTTACAAATACACAGGCAGTTACACACACACACATACCACACACATAGAGTTACCAACACATACAAGAGAATGGTTTAGAAAATTCTTTGAGTTACCATCAAGCAAGCATTTGTCGAAAAATTTGTTTCAAACTCCCTAACCTGACATAGCAGGAAAATGTTGACAGTTGTCAACATTTAATTTGACAGTCAGTAGGAAATGAAACTCTATCATCACTACTAAAATACGGTTAACATTTTTTGCCGTTAAATTATAAAATGGTGAACAAATTAAATCGCGAACATTTCCAGATTACGATAAAAAAAAGAATTTTAATCTCAGATGCTAGCACGCGACGAAATGTCTAACTTACTTTATCATTAAAAAAGTTTAAAAAACAACTTGAAAACGCGTTTCACCTCTTCGTTCTGCAAGCAACCGAGTGATGTCTAGTATAGTCTAGCCACCGTATAAATATTTGTAATTTGTTGTCAGACGCGAAGGCTGATGCAGTAATACTTTTATTATTTTATAATTCATTTTATTTATTTATTTTTTAATTAAACTAAAATTTAATACTACGTCAACATTATCTCCGATTCTGCTTTTTCTAAAAACCAATCCCATGAAATAACTAATGCACGTGTAAAATACAGAAGCATTCAGAGAGGCAGAGGCACTCAGAGATACGCGAGCATCTTCATATCGTACGAATGCACGCATAATCTGTATGAACTAATTCACACACACACACATTAATGTACAAACACACACAAACACATATACTGAAGGAGAAGTCAGAAGAGAAAAGAAACTGAGAGAGATCAGACATGAGGTATTTTTAACCTAAAACATGTGCAGGGATATCATTGTTTATAAGACCAATCGACTCCAATTCTTCAATTATTATCCATATCATAAACACACACGCACGCACGTACGCACACGCAAACACACAGGTGTAATCTAAACACAAGCACACAAACGTACATACATGCACACACACACATACACACCTAAATGTATAGACACACTACTACATAACTGCATGCATTCACACATACACGTACAAACATTCACAGAGTCACACAAACACACACCAGAGAAGCACACACAGGAATGTATTCCAGGGTCTGTAAGACTTAACGAACCAGTGAACAAACTAACGGAGGATGAACTATTGAACCACTAATAACAACATACTGACGGAATACCTCATCATTCTTCATATTGTCATCACCATCATTGTCGTCAATATCGTTACCATCATTTACATCACATCGGCGTCATCATATCATCATTGTCGACGTTATCACCATTACCCTCACCATCATCATCATCATCCTCATCATCATCTGACGTTGAGTCTGATAAATATTGCCATCTATATACAAACGCCATCTAATTTTTTTTAATTAATTATCACAATTCGCGGTCGTCATTCATATTAATTATTATATTATATACCAAATTAATTAATTAATTATTATAATATATATATTATATACCAAATTAATTAATTATTATAATATATATATTATATACAAAATTAATTAATTATTATAATATATATATTATATACAAAATTAATTAATTATTATAATATATATATTATATACAAAATTAATTAATTATTATAATATATATATTATATACAAAATTAATTAATTATTATAATATATATATTATATACAAAATTAATTAATTATTATAATATATATATTATATACAAAATTAATTAATTATTATAATATATATTATTTATTTGTCGTCGGCTTCTTCATAAACGTTATCATCATCTACATCAATTCTGTCATTAGTATCATCGTATATTATTATTTATGGTGATAACCCTCTTCATAATCATCGTCATCACAGAGATACAACAATTACCAACATATCCTTCAACCGACAAATGTATAACTGTTTGTTTTTGCTGAACTTATGTGCTTGTATGTTTGTGTATGAGTGCATGTGCATGTGCACCTATACACAAGTGCTGGTATGTAAGTATGTATAGGTGCATTCATGCATAATGTATGTATGTCTGTATGTATGAATGCAGTTGCACGTATGCATGCATGCATGTATGTATGTATGTATGTATGTATAGATGCATGTATGTATATATGAATGCAGTTGCATGTATGTATGTATCTTGCACTTAACTAACAAAACATTTTGTTCATTTCAACAAGAAACACATGTTTCTTCACAATGATCCCATCAATATCATCACCATTAAGAAGAGCACCATCGACATCATCATCTTTACTTTTGCTATCATTGTAATCACCATAAACAGCTTCAGCATGGTGAACATCTTCACCCTCATTTTAACGATCTTTACATTTTCATCATAAACATCAGATTCGAGTTTCATTTTTTGCACCATCACATTCTCCTCATCAATATCATTTTATCATCACCGATTCATCCTGATCATTCATCATTCCCGACGCATCTGAAGCGAACTCATTGTCAGATTGTATAATGAAGCTTGGCATGAACATCAATAATATCGACAAGTCTGTTTGAAACCTGCTCAAGTACCTGTGTAGGTCTTTACATCTGTCTGTCAGTCTGTGTCTTTGTTCGTCTCTCTGTTTGTTTGTTTGTGTTTCACTGCATACGTTTGCAAGAATCTGCATTTGTTTATGTATCTCTCCGTGTAACTGTATTTGACGGCAAGTCATTTATAAAGACGCGCGCCCATGACAGTTATTGAAACGAATGTTTTTTACTTAGAAAAAAAAATTTAAATATTTTTGAAATACAAAATGAACAAAACTGAAGAATAAAAACAAATTTGATTTGGAAATGTTAAAATCTGAAATGTAAGAAAGCAAAAAAATATGAACTATCCTTAAGAAAAGAACATCTAAACCGACGATGCGAAGGAGAGGAACGAAGGCATTCACTTAAATACAAAATTGTACAAATATGTATATGAAAAATAAAGATAAATGAAACTTAAAAACGTGAGTCCTGCAAAAAACAACCCGCAACCAAGTACAAAAAACAAACGCCAGACAGAATAAAATATTGACCATTAATTAACGACCTCAACTTTCTCATGTCCTTATTCACCTGGCTTCTTTCTTCCTTCCTCCCCTACCTTTAGTTATCCAGCTGGCAGAGGAGAGCCACACCCCTACCGATCCAATGTTCTTCCGGCAGGTTGCTGGGCAGGTCCATGGCAATGATGAAGTTTGTCGAATGGCCGGTAGTTGAGAGGGTCCCCCTTCTTTCGCTCGTGTTGTACACCGGGGAGGTGTACGTCTGCTTGGCGGCCAGCTCGTCCTTCTTGCACGGGATCAACCAGATCTGTGTGTACGTGCGAGTGTGCATGCGTGTACGCGCCTACACGCGCAAGTATGTACGCGTCTGTCTGCGTGCGCGTTTGAAAACATAAATAAAAAAATAAATAGAAATTGATGTTAGTTATTGTTAAGACCGTCACATTTCGTGCATTGCGAAATAATGATAATATGACGCACGCACCGCTGGCATTGGACAGAAGAGAATCTTAGGGATTGATTCGGCCAGAATGTTTTCCTCAAGGTCCCATCTAGCACCATCCACAAACAATCCCTTCACGTAGGCACCTGGTAAGTGGTTTTTGTTACTGATAATAATTTATCAATTTTGGCTTTTGAATGCTACTTTTTATGCAATGATGTCATTCCATTGGAACAGTTACCTCCTTTATCACTCCCACCGTCATCATTATCAACGTAATTTACGCTAATTTAGCTAGTCGTCTTCATCCTCTTCATCAATATTTTCCCCAACATCCCCATCGTCTAAATTATAATCATCCTCACTACCCTTCACCTCCACCTCCTCCTCCTCATAATCATCCTCCTCACCATTAACTGGGGCCAGATCGTAGTGACTCATAGGCATGACGTCATAGCTGAAGGTGAGGAGGTCGATGGGAATGGCATACTTGCGGGCGAAGTTCTGCTGCACCCCCGTCAGGAAGGCCTGTACGAAGAAGAAGCCCGACATCCAGAAAGTAGCAGGAGCGTCGTTCTCCAGCCAATCCTACCAGGGCAACGTCAAGGTCATCATAATCATAATTGTTATCGCCATTCTTTCATTCATTCATTCATTTATTTATTCATTCGTTCATTCATTCATTCATTCGTTCATTCATTCATTCATTCATTCAACATATTCCGTCCAATCAATTTTCATTAATTTAATCACTCACGCACGCATCCATTTAAATTATTTATTCACCAATTTTTTCAATAATTCACCAACCAACCAACCAACCAACCAACCAACCAACCAACCAACCAACCAACCAACCAACCAACCAACCAACCAACCAACCAACCAACCAACCAACCAACCAACCAACCAACCAACCAACCAACCAACCAACCAACCAACCAACCAACCAACCAACCAACCAACCAACCAACCAACCAACCAACCAACCAACCAACCAACCAACCAACCAACCAACCAACCAACCAACCAACCAACCAACCAACCAACCAACCAACCAACCAACCAACCAACCAACCAACCAACCAACCAACCAACCAACCAACCAACCAACCAACCAACCAACCAACCAACCAACCAACCAACCAACCAACCAACCAACCAACCAACCAACCAATAAACCAATCAATCAACCAACCGACCGACCGACCGACCAATCAATCACCAATACAAATGTTGAGGATCCACCTACCAACCGTAAAAAATTTGATCCTATTGACGAGATCTTGAACGTAGCCTCCCAGCGGCTTCAGGGATGGATAACTCTTGCCCATCCACATCTCCGGCACTTTTCCACTTAGCATGGACTTGAACATGGCCTCCAACTCAGGTGTCATCAAGGTCAAACCCTTCAAAGTGCAAGTTAACAGCAAATTATCATTCAATTACATCGTTTTTCTCATTACCCATTTTTTCTTTCTAAAATGATTTATCAAATTTAAATGAAAAAAAACCTTAATAGACTCCCTGATATTCTTCAAGGATGACCTAATTATTGACATGAGATTGTTGAACCGACCCAATTCTTGCACAAGCACCGAGTTCATGCTCTGGCTGTAGGCTGTTGGATACCTCAGCCTAGCTTCCTGATCGATCGAAAATTTAAATGTTGAACGTGTAACATCGTAAAATTCCATCGTGAACGAACTTGAATGTCAAAATTGGCAGGTGGCAGCCTGTTGAGGATGTCCAGAGCAACTTCGTCGACTGTGGAGTCCGAAGACTTGCTCTTCTCAACCATTGAGCTCATCTGATTGGTTCGTTCGTTCGTTCGTCCAGTCGTATTTATTCATTTGATCGAGTCTTTCAAACATATAACTATTTGTTCATTCATTCACATGTTCGTAATTTAATCATTTAACAAACAAACGCATAAATAAATTGAATAATATGTTCATTGATTCATCTATACAATCAATCAATCAACCAATCAATAAATCAATCAACCATTCAATCAACCATTCAATCAACCAATCAATCAACTAATCAATCACTCAACTAATTAATCAGCAGCAGGTAAAAGATGAGTGAATGAAGCCAAAATAGCGTAAATTTGTATCACATTGTCATTTCCCAGGTCCATCCATCAACCAATCAGGAATGTCCAAGTGTCCTCGTGCCCAGAAAATTATATTTTGAAGAATGGATATAAATAGAATATTGCTGGCCTGCCTGCTCGGTGCTTGGAAGTAACCGCAGGTGCAAATTAAATCATGGCGCAACGAGCCACTAACGAAGTAAGGAAAGATTAACTCTGCGCTTGCTAGGTTCATAATAACGTTAGCAACAATCCTGGCTCGATTAAACGAAACGCATCTCAAAAAGTTACTGAAGGACGAAGGAAACTGAATCAACATGTTCCCGAAGGAAGGACGCTATTTTATTCTATTTAAAAAGTTATGCATACAATCTCAGAAGCATAAAAACTCTGGGGTTCAGCAAGAATGAACAGAAACTCTGACCAGGCAGTTTGTGACCCGCATTACACAAGTCTCATGAGCTCGGTGCTGATGGAAGCAAACTTTTTAAACTGGCAAATAGATGTACCTGATAGTCGTGAATAAACCACTTCTAAAAATGTTTATGCGCCGGTCAATTCGTGAGATGAATATTTAGTTACTAACTATTTATCCATTCATCCATCCATTCATTTAACCATTTATTAATAATAATTTTAAATGCTTAAATTTTTGAGATGTACCAACGAACCAACCAGCCAGCCAACCAACGAACCAGCCAGCCAACCAGCCAACCAGCTAGCCAAACAGTTAGCCAAACAGCCAACCAGCCAGCCAACTAACTTGCGCAGTGACGATACCAGAAAGTAAGTGTTTTGTTTCCATTTGTTCCTTCGTTATGTTCACATTCGAATGCATGCCGAACACGCTCGGCTGAGTGTTGTAGGGCAGTTGTTTTATGTACTCCAAGTAGTCATGGTACTTTGAAAAAAAATCACATTAATGAAAACGATGAAAATGACAACGAAACAACAACAACACACGTTTAGACGACATTTTCCTTGAGATCGGGGGTTGCCGTTTGGCTACCTATGATGAAACCGAAATACCTCTCGACGCCATCCACATCTGTCATTCGCCTCAGTATCACGCAACCCCGCTTTCACCTTGTCCTTCTCCACCTGCTCTCTCCATCCCAATCGCGGACGACTCCTTCCTACCACTCCTTCAACCTCGAACTCCAACGCTCGCCTAATCCCGACCCTTTCATCCCTTCTCAACACATGTCCATACCACCGCAATCTCGATCTCCTTATCAATGTCACAATGTCCTCATTCAGTCCCATCATCGACATCAGCTCTGTACTACTCCTCCTATCCTTCACTTTAACCCCACACATCATCCTCACCATAGCTCTTTCAGCCCTCTGCAGTACACTTTCTTCCTCTCTCCTCAACACCCAAGTTTCACCACCATATACCATCGCTGCTCTCACACATGCTTTATATACCCTCCCTTTCATCTTTACTGACCATTTCTTTCCACACAATACCCCACCCAGTTCCCTAAATTTCATCCATCCCACACGAACTCTAGCCGTAACTGCGCTCAAACATCCTCCATCCGCGTTCAGCTTATCCCCTAAGTAAACAAAGCTTTCCACTCTTTCAATACCACCACTCAACCCCGTCCTTGCGTCCGTCCTATTAATCACACCATGAACACATTTCTTACATTTGAACGTGCTTTCCACCTTTTCCCCCCTCACACCACTACATCTCTCATGCACCCATTTCTGACATCCTATACACAAGACAACGAGTGAAAATGACAACGAGTGAAAATGACAACGAAAACAGATGTGATATATTAAGAACGAACGTAGGAACGAATGAACAAGCTGCAACCATTCAAACCTCTCCTGGCGGTGGAATATAGTAGATCATGGAGTCATCAAAATAGAAAACCGTATCATTTTCCTCCTCCTCTTCTGCATCTTCCTCCATCATTTCTTCCTCTTCGTCCTCCTCCTCCTCTTCATCATCTTCCTCCTCAACTGTCATTTTTGTAATGACGTCATCCAATTTCGGTGGCAACATCAATGTCAAAACATCTGCAGCTGTTTTTTGCTGTTGAGAAGTTTGCTGCTTCAGTTGTTTCTGCAGTTCGGGGTCCGTGCTGCTCTCCTGCGAACTGAACTGGCTCAAGACCTTCGACGGTGTTTTGTTGACAGCTGCCTGCTGCGGTGCTACATTTTCTCCCGACAATGCAACAGAAACAGCCGAAATTAATGGAAAAGACTTCGGACTCGTGTCGCCTTCGCGGTATTGTTGCGATACCCGATGCGAGAGACGCTGCGGTAGAACCTCTTGCGACCGCTGTGGTGATTGGTTCAGCTGCAGTGACTGATTTGATGGTTTCTCTGTCAGATTTAGTGGTTGCGACTGTTGCGGCAGAAGTTGTTTTGATGAATGGTGTGGTGAACGTTGGCGTGAGGACTGCACCGAATAATGCTTTTGTGATGAAGGTTGAGATGAATAAAAAGAATGAGATTGCGAAACTTTCTGATGTGATTTTTGTCGAAAAATATGTAGGGACTGTGGACGTCGATGCGACTGCCGAAGTGAGGTATGTGGTTGAAACGACTGCAGTGGTGAATGTTGTTGAAGTTGTTGTAGCGAGTCACGCTGATCTTGTCGTTCATCCACATTGGGCTCAGCATTCAAGACGTCCTCATCACCAACGACATCTGCAGTAGCATCATCAGCAACTTGACCACCATCTTCGTCGTCGTTGTCATTGTTAGTGCAGCGATTAGTTGCTATCCCAGTTAAATTTTTAATGTTGGCAATGCTTCCGTCTTGACTATTTTTTTTATTTTTCTTATTATTACTATTATTATTTTCATTATCGTCGTCACCAAGGAGTTCCTGATCGTCATCTTCTTCTGGTACTGGCATGGACAAGATATTGACCCCTCCTTTCGAGATGAGAGTCATCTTACTGGATTCAATGCTGGTGTTAAAACTTTCGCTGATGTTCTGATAACTCGTCGCGGCCGATTCATATTCCGTATGCATACTCGACCCTTTGGAATCCTTCACCCTTTCCTCCTTGCTAAGAGACGTGGAGTCGATCTTCGACATGACTGACTTTCCAAAACTGCGATGCTTACTCTTCTTGAAGACACTCCTATGATCGTGAGCACCAGCCGACATTTTCTTTAAGCCATTTCGAGACGATTTGTAATGGGCGTCTGTCAGCTGCGAAACTTTAACAAATCTGATGGTGTTTGTGGTCATCCTTCCAAAGTAGATGGAAGACCCTGGAGAACCATCAGAGTGTGGATTGTTTACGTAAGAGAGGTCCTGTACTGTTGGGTGGCTGGGGGGGAGTAGAGCGGGCGTGTAAAACTTATTGACCAGGGTCCTCAGTGTCCTGCGGTCCCAGTCGTCTGTCACCCTCCCGCCGTAGTTACACTCGCCAGTCAAGTATCTCAGCGCTTCAAATTGCACAGTCTGCAGTTTAATAAAATTATGATAGGTAGACAAATCACACTAACCACAAACCACGGAGAAGATCGTAATAATAATTATACTATTTTGTTGGTTTTTACTAGTTAAAATATGAGTAACGCTTATTATTAATATTATTAACAGTAGTAGTAGTATTAAATTAGTAACCGACATCATATTTATCAAGGAACTCAGCAAGTTGCTGAACTGATATCCGGAGGTCTGTCTCGTTGAAGCCGTACGGAATGTTCCAGCCTGCAGAATCACCATCATCTTAACATCTTCATCTTAACCATTGCATTATTTTTTAAGAAAGATTTTGACTTTGTGTCTGTCTGAACCTACGATTGCTGCTGTTTCGTTATTGTAATCGCGTAACCTTTGAGTGAGAGTGAATCATTACACCTAAAAACCGCGCTCAACTTTAAAAATTAAAATAATTTATAAAAATATATCCACTTGACTTTCGAAAGTAGCGAGTATCGATTTTTTCTGCCTAAAAAGTATCGGCGATATCAAGTTCGATGCTTTGGCATTCCGAAGTATTACCAGTAACGAAGCAAATACTCAAAAAGTATCGTTGATACAATATCTGGGATAGCAACACCTCGAAATTAACAGATAGCTTCTCGGCCTTTTGGCTAAGATCAAAGTGTAGTATCTGTTCTTATCAGCTTAATATCTGATACGCCCTCCATCGGAGGGCATCGATATTAAACTACTAAGTCAGATATGTCAACAACAGAAACCCCTGTTATCTCAAATAATAAAAGAAAAGTAACAATGATTGATAAAGAAATTCAATGCAATCTTATAAATTGTTTACCAAATTCCACCAAAAACTACAAAAAAAGAAAAACTTCTGATAATGATATATCTCAAGAAACAACAAAAAAATTAGAATTAGATCAGCAAATAAAATCCCATAAAAACTATAATAAAACAAGTAAAGAAAACAAAGATCCGTATATGTTTTCCAGCGATGAAAACACGAAAAGTGATGAATGCCTTAGCGAAGATACGGAGGAAGATTCTAACAAAAATGACATTAATGTAAAAATGAAAAACGTTCCCAAAAATAAACATGGCTTATAATAAACAAACAAAAGAAATACCAGACACTAAAAGATTCATTAATAACTCCTAAACAAATAATCCCATTTAAGACATAATGATAGATAAAAATTTCCACACAATCAAAATCCTTCAATGGAACATCAGAGGAATGAAAAACAATTTACCAGAACTACAAATCCTAATTTCTAAATACAATCCACATATCATTTGTCTCCAAGAAACAAAAAACACTGAAGATAAACAGATAAAATTGAAAAACTACATGGGTTATCATAAAGCAGCTATCTCCACAAAAACAAATCCATCAGCTGGAACATCAATTTATATTCATTACAATATAACACAGTCTCCCGTTAATATAAAAATCGATAATCATTTCATAGCAGCAAGAATAACAATCTACAACAAATCAATAACAATATGCAATGGTTACATACAGCCAAATTCTTTGATTAAATCACAAAACTTAAAACAAATTATAAAACAAATTCCTAAACCATTCATATTCCTTGGAGATTTTAATGCTCACAACAAAATTTGGAACTGCCTAAACTCAAATTCTCAGGGTAAGCATTTGGAAAAAACAATAATAGAAAATGATCTTTGCCTGATTAAGCCAACACAACCAACAAGATACCATGAAAACACAAACACTTCATCCACAATTGATCTAGCCATGACAACTCCAACTCTCTTTGAAGATATTGAATGGGATGCAGAACATGACTTACATGGCAGTGATCACTACCCAATAATTATATCCATCAGAAATAAACCCACAAATTCAGATTTGAAAAGACTTAACTACAACAAAACAGATTGGAGTAGTTTTACATTCATGATAGAGGAACAAATGAAAAATTTTGACACAATTGATGATGAGTCAATGAACAAATGGATAGAAATCATATCAAAAGTCATAAAACAAACTACCCCAGTTATTCAAAATAAAAAAAGGTAAAGTTTTAAATACTTGGTACAATGAGAAGTGCAAAGATGCAATCAAACAGAAACAAAATGCATTTAAAAGTTTCAAAAATAATCCCAATCAAGACAACTTTATAAATTATAAAAAGATCAAAGCAGAGGCACGCAGAACAGTAAGAGAAGAAAAAACAAATCTTGGAACTCATTTATCAATAATCTCAATTCCAACACATCTATAAATAAAGTTTGGGAAATGATCAGAAAATTAAAAAATAAAAATAATACTAATAAAAACAGCCACATTTCACTCAATGGTAAAGAGTATACAACTGACCAAGAAATATCAAACATCTTGGTTATCAATTTTCAACGAAATTCAAAAAATCTGCAAAATAATGAAAAAAATAATTAATACAAGACTAGATTGGTATCTCAAAATTAATAAAATAATATCAAATTCACAGTGTGGAGGAACCTAAGGAAGATCCACATTAGATAACCTACTACTGCTTGAAACATTGGTAAGACAAGTATTAAACAATAACGAACAAGTCATAACAATATTTTTAGACATAGAGAAAGCCTATGATAGTGCTTGGAACTATGGAATTATGAAAAAGATACATCATATTGGTTTACGAGGACTCCTTCCTAGATTTATTCAAAATTTCTTGACGGATCGATCCTTTCAGGTAAAATTTAACAACACATTTTCTGAAAAAAAGTATCCAGATCTAGGTATTCCACAAGGGAGCATTTTGTCACCAAAACTTTTTTGTTTACTTTTAGATAACATAACAAATATAATTCCAAAAAGAGCAATAACTTCGCTGTATATGGATGATTTAACAATAACATTTAGAAATAAAGATATTAGCAAAATGCAAGGGGAAATAAACACATTTTTGAAAACCTTAGAAAAATGGGCAATAGAAAATGGAATCAAATTTTTAGAAACCAAAACAAAAGCCATCCTTTTTTCAAAAAAACGAAACAAGATCTACCCCGAATTAAAATTTCAAGAAAATTTCATAGATTTCACCCAGCAATATAAATATTTGGGAATCATAATCGATGATAAACTTAATTTCATTCCTCATATTCAAGCGGCAAAAAAAATGTCTAAAAGCACTCAACCTGATCAAAGTTTTATCTCATCATACTTGGGGAGCAGATCAAATGCACTTGATGACAATTTACCAGACAACGATAAGATCAATAATAGACTACGCCAGCCCAGTTTATGGATCAACAAGAAAATCATATCTCAAAATTCTTCAACCAATAATCAACGAGTCATTAAGAAGAGTTTTGGGAGCATATAAAACATCTCCATCTAGCAGTCTACATGTTCTCTCAGGGGAAATGCCCATATCTTATAGACATCAAAAATTGGCATCGAACTACTATCTAAAACTGAGATCGCAACCATAAAATCCAAATTATAAATATACCGATAAAATATGTCACATTAAATCCAAATCTATTCAAACTTTTCCAACAAGATAATTGAATACATCAAAGAACATGAAAAAACAAAAATTGTTAAAGAGAATGATTATAAGATTCCTCCCTGGCTGTTGCTACATGCAGATATTGATACCAGTATAGCAAAAATAGAAAAAGACAAAAACTTAGCAAAAATGTTATTCAAAGAAAAAATTCAAGAGAATCACAATTCAATTGAAATATATACTGATGGCTCAAAAAAAAGGAATATCAACTACAGCAGCAGTAGTGGTCTACAGACAACAAAAATGCATAAACAAAATCATGCAACATCTTCCAAACCATGCTTCAATCTTCATAGCAGAAATCATTGCCATTCAGATGGCAATAAACTTCATATCTAAATCCAATAGTAAAAATTTCATGATATTCTCAGATTCATTATCAACAGTTATGGCGCTTAAACAATATAGACCTCAACACAACCTTATAATTCAAACGCAAAACAGGATACATGATAACTTAAATGATAACAATGGTAAGAAAATAACTCTGATATGGATACCCAGTCACATAGAAATTCAGGGTAATGAGGAAGTCGATCAACTGGCATCACAAGCTCACAATATTCCAATATCAAATCTTCCCATCCCACACAATGATTTAAGATTTTGGACAAAAAGGTTTCAATGGAGAAATGGCAACTTGAATGGAACCAAACATCAAACTTTCTTAAATTATCCACACCATTTCTCAGCCAAAAAATGAATTTAAAGGTTTAAAACGTAAACCTCAGACAATCATCAACAGATTAAAAATAGGCCATTCAAGTTTGACTCATTCCTGGATTCTCAACAAAACAAATTCGCCTACATGCAACTCTTGTAACGAAAAACTAACCATCCATCACATTTTTGTCAAATGTAATAGTCACAATAATAGTAGGAAACGACATGACATCCCTTCAGAAGTAGAAAAAATTTTTTCCAGAGATAAAATCAATAATCTAATATCATTCCTTCAGGAAATACAAATTTTTAATAGAATTTAAAAATAATTTCTCAAAAGTTTTAAAACAACAAAACGCATTTATAGAAAAGGAACAAGGGGCGTAAAGATAGCCAGTTGTGCTGAAACGCCGTTAAACTGCACAAACAAACAAACAAAATTAACAACCCTTGTTTGTTGTTTGTAAACAGAAACAAACCAATGGCTCCGAATTTGATTCTCTCCTGGACGAGAGCGTGGAAGAAGCACAAACTGAACAGCATGGCCTTCCACTCGGCCTGTTGTTGGTGATGCATGTGTTGTTGTTGTTGTTGCTGCTGATGCTAATGCTTATGTTGTTGTTGTTGATGATGATGTTTGTGTTGTTGTTATCAGTGTTTATGTTGTTGACGTTTGTGTTGCTAATGATGGCGTTTGTATTGTATTGTTTGCTGCGATTGTTAACTCTGTAAAGGATGCTGTTAATGTTGTTGTAGGGGTCGTTGATGTTATCGTGTTGTTGTTGATTTTGTTATCGAGTTGTCATGATGGTAGTTGTGGCAGTTGTAAAGTGCACCACACCAAGCAATGTCATCACGTCCTCACTTGTTTCTTCACAGAATAAAAAAACTCCATATCAGATATAGGATCTGTCATGTAGGACCTAAATAAAAAGTTAAACAACTTTGCAAAATATATATTTGGATGTAAAATTAGTTTCAACAAAATAACCTGACCTAATTAAATTGAACCTCAATCCCTTGGGCGGTTCATTGGTCATCTTGACCCCATTTTGAAGGATGGAAACCGGGAAGAAACTCGACGGATAACTGGTCAGCCAGAGACGGAAACTAGGATGAACGGCTTCAGGTTTTAACTCCTTTAATGTTGTGTAATGACGTGTGTGCTGCATGTGTGTGTGTGCGTGTATATGCGTGTGTGTATGCGTGTTTCAATGTGTGGTTGTGTGAATATCATTAGTATTTTTTCTTTTTTTCATTTTTTTAATTTATACATGCAATCACATACATCCCCATACGATCACATACGATTACGTACAATCGTTAGACTAGCCTACCTACCCACCAACCCACCTACCAACCCACCAGACAAATCTTTTCGAGAGTGGGCATCCAGGAGGGAGCAAGATGGCAGTTCTGCAGTAGAACCCACATCCCATTCACGACTGCCTCGTCTAACATCTTTTGAGCAATTGGTCCCTGACCTTGACCCAGTGATAAGGAGTGAAACTTGCCTGATAAGTAATCCTGTTGAAAAAAAATTCAATCAATCATCAATCAATCAACCAACTAATCAATTATTCAATTAACAGTTTAATTAAATAACAAATTAACCACAAACTCATTATTGGACTAATTACATATTCAAATAAACGAGCAGCCAATCATCCAGCTGAATGAAAGGAGGCAATTAAATGTCCTCTTACGTTTTTCTGGGCGAACTTGAGGAGAGCGGCTGTTGGATCGGAGCCAGCACTGAGGATGAAGATCAATGGAGATAGGGAGTTACCTGTTAGTATCGTCATCAACATCATCGTCATCATCATCGTTGTCGTCATCACCATCACCGTCATCATACTCGTCACAACCATCGTCACAACCATCATCACCATCATCATCACCACCACCAACTGTCGGCAAAGGAACTTTCGAGATCGAATGGAGGAGGTTCAACGAACTTCTGCCCCATATTTTCCACGATGAAGTTAGCGATGGCGGGCACCACCTTGTCTGGTCGGAGTACGCGCACGATCAGAATCTTCTGCAGCGAGGTCAGGTCATTCCAGGGTGGGGGTAGTGCCTTCCCGTGTGGCTCCTTCCATTGGTCGTTCCAATTCAGCATTCATTCATAAATATCGTTAATACACGTGCAACTGACAAATTGTTGTCGTTGAACACACAAAAACGCACCAAGACACACACGAACCAAGACACACATACATTCATACACACACGCACACACACATACAAATACATAAACACAGACCCATCATATGAAAATACCTGTGCGTCATAAATAGCCAACCAATCATCTTCTTTCGCCACAAAATCCTGCACGATTCCTTTAAAATTGGCGAGCTCATCCAAGCGGCACAGCTCATCCCAGGATTGACTTGGTAACCATGCAAACGGATTTTCCAGTTTGTTGGAAATTCCCACGCCCCCGGTGAGCAGGAAAATCCACTCCGATTGGTTGATATTTCCGTTTATTTTGTTGAGGATGTTGATGATGAGGATGAAACTGAAGAGTAACTGGTTGGTATGAGATGAAGATGATGATGAAAATGTTGATGGAGATGATAAGGAGGAGAGTGTTGAACAGGATGATAATAAAAGAGCGGATGATGGCTATCAAACTGAAATAATCCACATCATGATTAAAATATCTAGAGGAAATAAAATCAGTAAATTAATTATTCTTACGACGAGAACCACAAAAAACATCCTCACCCTCATCAATCTCACAGTAAGCATCGGCAACTACCTTATCCTTCTCAAAAAGACTCTTGCAAGTATTGCAGTACAACGAGTAAGTGAAGTGGGATCTGAGAGAGGTCAATCGATCATCAAGGTCATTTCCCTTCGGAGCCTTCTCGATGGAGAGTGTGAAGAGGTTGATGAACCAGAGCAAAGAGTTCTGGTACATGGGATCGAGGTTAGCCAACTCGGCAACCGTGAAGAAGAGGACCCTGCAGTATCTGCAAATGTGTGCACACAAATTGCACATGCTCGCATCACGAAACATTCAGCAGTCGACTGCTTAAGCGTTGTAATTATATATGACAATACTCTCACCACATTTTGTAATTAGTGCCAATTATAAATCTAAATGTACACGTCAGATATTGAAATGTCGTATAAGCATTGTACGCAAGAAGGAAACAAACTTCGCCAGTGAGGCGTACACCATCCTCGCTGCGTTGATGTCTGCCTGGGTCTCCTCTGCAGCTTTCTATCAGTACCATCAACATCGTCATCATCATCATCATCATCATCATCGTCGTCTTCATCATCATCGCAATCACTATCATAATTTTCATCGGCCACTTTATCATTATGACCATCACCATCATTGTCGCCACCATCAACTTCATCGTTTACATCAAGACCACTATAATTCGTCATCATTGTTGCCATCATCATTATCAACCTCATCATCCTCATCATCATCATTGTCGTCGTCAACAACTACATCTTCGTCCCTATGATCTTCATCACCTGCTTGGTAGATATCTCCCTGGCCAGTATCTTAGATGAGCTGAGTATCTTTACAGCGGACTCATCCTCCAGTATGTTCCCCTGAGATCCAGAAAGAACTTCCAGGATCCTGCTTTCGATTAGCTTCAGCTGTTTGTTGTTCTCTGCACTCTGAACTATCAGAGCGTTCCTGCTTAACTCCAAATCCGGCTTTTCTTTCGCCACCACAATCCCCAGCAACTGATCGTCCAGTCCTGTCAATGATCATCACCAGAGATTGGTGACAATCAATTAATAATTTTTTATAATATCTCGTCACCAAGATTTACAACGTCATCAACGACGTCCTACCCTAGTTATAACCATATTCCTCATTGTCACCACAACTACCAAAATCATCATCATCATCCTCACCACCACCACCACCATCATCATTACCTTCTTCGGTGATCATGAAGTTGACCAGGGTGACGTTGACGGAGAGTTCAGGCAGGTTTTGGGGGTTCCTCAGTTTGGTCGTCATGTAGAACTTGAAGGCGTTGTTGTACTCTACCAGGGCGTCACCCAACTTTATGCACGTTACCCCGCCTTCGTTTCGTATGGATAATTTAATAATAATAATAAAAACAACAACAATAATAATAATTTTATAATAATAATAATAATTTAATAGTTATAATGAATCAACAAGAAAAATATAATTAATAATCTTAGTGAGGTGAGGTACTTTAACTTATTGTACAAACGTACAAGCGTGTATGTACGTCGTTTGGCCGGTGTGTGCGCGCGTGTGTGTGCGTGTGTGTGTTTCATTTCATTTCATCATTACATTTCAACGCCATTTGAAGTAAGCAACTTTCTGCTCATTCGAGCTGCATGGTAGAAAAAAAATAAACAGACACGTAATTGAAAATATTTCACCGTTTTCATCATCATCATCATCATCATCATTATTATTATTAATATTATAAATAATAATAATAATAATGATAATGATAGATTGCAGAAAACCTTGGTTAAAAGTCTGTCTGAGGAGTATGGAGTCGAGGACTGGATCGACCTCTTCGGCGATGTTCTCCAGAAGCAATGGAAAGCCAAACCTGATGGCGTTCTCTACTTTGTGAAAGAAATCACCTGTTGTCATCAAATTATAAGGACGATGAAGACGATGAAAATGATGATGACGTGGTGATGACGTGAATGATGACGATGACGACGATGATGATAGGGGCGTTGTGATCAGATGATGGATCGTGTTGATGGTAACGTATAATCGCGATGTGGCAAGCAAGCAGAGATGATTGTTAGTAATGGCGATAGAGATTTTGGTTAAGAAACGACGTTCATCAATGTTGTTGACCGCTGTGACGATGACCGGCTGTGATGATGATGATGATGATGAGTGTAATCCTGGTTACCATGAATGTGAAAATGATGAAGACAAAAACGAAAATGCCTCACCGTCAGATAATTTAACGACTATCAAGCTATTTGGATGTTCGAGGTTTCTGACGAATGTGTTGGCCTGTCCTTGGGGATCGATCATGAGGGGCCACCTGCGAGCCGTGCTGTCGGAGGAATTTGGTGGGTGGATGATTTGTGGTGGTCGATTTGTGGTTGTCGATTTGTGGTGGCTGATTTGTGGTGGTTGATTTATTGAATAGTCTGCCTGCTAACATTGTCAACAAATCGTTTGACTGACTCACCGTCTGAATGTTCATTTAACAAATTTTGAATAAGAGATTGCGTAATATTCCTATCATCTTTGCTCTCATAATCGTCATCATTCTCACACACAAGTATCATTATCATCTCGTTATCCATACCACCACCACCATCAGTTTTTCCTTCACCACCACCATCTTCCTCAACCTCTCCCTCATCCTAACCTCATGATGATGCCATTATCAACGGAGAACTCATCAGTGGGCAGTCCACAGATGTTCCAGTTCCTGATGAGTACTGGATCTCCCAGAGTGGCACTTAATGAATAATCAGCCCGAGATGGAATGTTGTTGGTGTGGGCAGCTTTCAACCCAATCCTCACCTGCTTCCGGAATCGTTTACCCGGGTTTGTTTTTTTAGGAAGACAGTCCGTGACATACCGATGAGACCGACGACACAAACGTACTCAAACAACACATCAAACAGCAGCAACAATATCAAAAATCCTATCCAAAAACAAAAAAGGTAAAATTTACCTTTACAATCATCAATAAATCAATGGCAGAAATTTGGTAACTTTCAAACTTGTTACAAACATAAGTCCAAACCAAAGCAGAATGGAGCACCGCCACACACATCATCGTACGACGTCTCTTTGCAATTAAACCCGGACAATCATTGCAGCGTAGGACTTGCTGCTTCATTATTACGCCTTAAGGTCGCTCCAAGTTGATAACATGAACACCAAATTTCTCAACATAGCAACAACAACAACGCCCAGAAGAAAAAGTGATAAGTACATTTCTGAATGCAATGGTGAACGGTCCCAAGTAAGCGATGACTCCAGATGATAGAAGGGCATCACCAGCCAGTGTGGTGAACATGGAAGACAGCTGCTGAACCATCACCTGCCATCTCTCCTGCTCCGTACCCAAGCCTCCTATCAACTTCTCCGCTCGATCCAACTTCAAACTGCACAAGTCCACCTGACGGTTTCCAGCATAGCAGCAAGTTTTGTGGGATGGAGATGTGATAAAGAGGATTTTGACGGTGGATGAAGATTATGATGGGTAGGAAAGGGAGGAATGGTATGGAGAAGTGATGTTCATAGTGGCAAAAATTACGATTAAAATAACAATGATGACGTCATTAAGAATTATGATAACAACAATGACGAATAATGATGATAATCTGAGGTCCTTCATGACGGGCGCCACACATATCGTCAAATACAAAACCACTAACTTGTGCCTCGAGATCCAATTTCTGCTTCTCATTGGCTTCCAGTTTCACTTTGAGTTTGTTCAATTTCTTCCTTACCTCCATCAGCTGCTTCTGCTTCTTGGCCAGTTCTTTCATGGCCATCTCATATTTATCCTGGGCATCTGCCATCGCAACTTTTTTTGGCGCCACAATCTTCGCCACTCTGCATTCAACAGACAGACAACGTAGACTCAGGAGTTTACAACACAATAAACTTTTTATGAAGCATGATGCATGCAAAACATGTAATCATCAAACATAAAAAGTATCAAACCGCTTACAGGCACAACACATCAGCAGAACTTACGCGTCGTATTTATCGATAGCCAGGAGCCACCTGCAGAGACCCTCGCAAGCGCTGGACACCACCTTGATCTTCTCAGGATCGAAATCCGGATTGCTTGAATACTTCGATCGAATTTGTTTCATTATTGCAACAGGGATGTTGTCCTGTTGGGCGAGTGTGCGTGTAAATGTTATCCATCATTGACTGCGTTGAAGCTGATACAAACATGCACGCGCTTATATATTTATTATAATTTAATTTCAATAAAAAGTTTAATTTTAAATGGTATCTACAGACAGCATTTAACAATCCAATTGGTCTAAACTATTTGATGACATCCGCCTGCCTTCAGATAAACTGCTCGTGGAACGAACTTCTTGAAATTATTTCTGTCTCACCTTATCAAAATTGATCAAAGACTCCAAGAACTTTGTTTCCGCCAGCAACTTTAAAGAAGCCTTCCAAAAGTCATCAAACTTCTTGCCGTCCCTGTCAATGCTCTTTTCAGGCTTGATGCCCTTGAGGACGCAGACGGCCTCCATGACCAGCTTGACGCCGGCGGGCGGGTTCTTCATGGCTTTCACGATCGTTATGTCCTTGTGAGTTCGTGCAGAAGTGGTGGTTTGTGATTTTTCGTTGTATCAGTTATAAATTGCAGTCTCATTCATCAGCTCGTTCATAACTTTTCATAATCTTTAATTTTCATACATTCATCCCTTCATTTCACCCCTCATTCACTCACTCCATCTTCGTTTCGATTTTCATATTATTCACACCATCCTTCACTCATTTAACCATCCCATTCTTCATTTATTCCTTCATGCGATGATTCATTTATTTACATTCTCTATTAGTTAATTAATTAATTAAATAATTAATTTATATATTTATTGATTTATCTATTCATTCATTCATTTATTCATTCATTCGTTCGTTCGTTCGTTCATTCATTCATTCATTCCGCTTACATTCATGGTCAACGTATTGAGAGCGGCATTGGCCGCATTCATTATGACCTGCATTGTTAACAAATTAAAAATAAAACATGCGACGAAATATGCATGCAATACAATATACAACGAAACATGATGTGAAACATGCAACAAAACCTGCAACAAGCATGCAACGAAACATGCTGCAAAACATGCAATGAAACCTGCAACAAAACTTGCAACAAGCATACAACGAAACATGTAATGAAGCATGCAACAAAACAAGCAACAACGTATGCAACGAATCAAGCAACAACGTATGCAACAAAACATCGAAATCGCACACAGCGCAGCAACCGGCAACACCACAAGAGACCATTGCATCGGCCAGATCGGCATCACATTCTGACTTTATATTGGCAGCTTCTTCGGCCTGAGCATTTGCTACGGCCTCATCCGCTTTCACATTCTGACATGACGATGATGGTGATGATGATGGCGGTAATACACTAATATTAGTAGTAAAAGGTATCATCATTTGTCGCCATCATCATCGTCGTCATGTGATCATCATCATCATCACCATAATCATCATTATCGTAACTGTTATCTTCCTGTGATCATCATCATCATCCCCATAATCATCATATCACTGTATCTTCATGACGTCATCATCATCATCATCCCCATAATCATCATCTTCGTCGTCGTCACTGTCATCTTCCTGTGATCATTATCTTACCATCATCGTCATCATCATCACTATCATAACCATCATCGTCATCATCATCATCAGTATTTAATCACCATTACTATCATCGCTATCATCATCTTACCACCATTGTCATCACCATCACCATCCTAGTTATCACCCTCACCACCACCACCACCACCACCATCCTCCTCCTCCTCATCATCATCAACATCATCATCGTGGTAAGTACGTACCTTCTCGACGACTAGGACCTCCCTTGAATCGTGCTCAATGTCGACCATGACCTCGTCCACCTGCCTGCTGGCGGCCACCAACATCGGCTGCAGGTCCGTCAGCTCCGTCTGCATTATCGCCACCTGTCGCCGCCGTTCGAATTTATTTCAAAATTAATCTTTCGGCAGTAGTTAAAAAAGTTTCATTTACCTGACTTAGTTAATTTATATATTAGGTAATTTATTCATCCATCTATCCATCCATCCATCCATCCATCCATCCATCCATCCATCCATTCATCCATCCATCCATCCATCCATCCATTCATTCATCCATCTACCTGAGATTTGGCAAACTCCAACTTTTCGAGACCGACTTCGTATTGATTCTTGAGTAATGTGACCTTTCTGTGCGATTATGACGATAATGATGAAACAATGATGATGAAAATGATGGTGATCACAGTAGCTATCATGATCGTGGTCAGTTAAACATTCATCTAATAGTTCAACAGAATAATAATATAATTAACCAATCAATCTTTTACCAATAAAACAATCAATCAATTATTTGACCAACAAAACAATTAACCAACCAACTAATCAACCAACAAACTAACCAACAAACCAATCAACCAAACAATTAATTAATTAATTAATCAACCAACCAGCCAACCGACCGACCAACCAACCAAAAAACCAACCGAATAACCAAACAACCAGCCAACCGACCGACCGACTAGCAAAACAACCAACCCGCCAATCAACCAACCAGCCAATCAAACAACCAGCCAACCAATCAACAACCAACTTACTGGCTCTTCATGGAGAATATACTTTTGAACGTACTAATCAGCTCCAAATAGGACATGGGTGTGATGTAAGTGATCCTTCCCCGTTCTTCGAAAAATTTCGTAGCTAGCATCTTGCTCGTGATCTGGAAGGTCTGGCAGGTGTGAGTGCATCCTTCGATCAGAGTCCGCGGTAGTTCCAACTTGGTCAAAAACTTTGTGGCCACTGCTTGCAAAGCGTCGTTTGGCCATTCCTTTCATTAAAAATCGCCTGAGATTGTCAACTTAATTATCACCGTTATTATTCTAATTACCGTATATTTATCATACTCATTTGTTAGCGATATGTTTCTCTCATCATCCTCATCATCCTCACCATCGCCATCCTCACCATCACCATCCGACTCACGTGGTACCAGTCAATGGTGCAACAGTTGACCAGGGCAGGGAACTTCCTCAGCCTGTCTCTGAAAACCGCGCCAACAGGACTCATGGTCATGACGACGTGCAACAAGTTTCTGCATTTGCGGGTGAACATGTTGAAGAGGGCCAGGAACGAGCCGTCCGTCTGCTTCGAACGATCCTGCATTCTGTTTCAGTGGTTGGTTGGTTGGTTGTGATTGGTCGGTTGTGATTGGTTGGTTGTGATTGGTCGGTTGGTTGTGATTGGTTGGTCGGTCGGTTAGTTGGTTGGTTGTGATTGGTTGTGTGTTAAGTTAGTCGTTTTTAAGTTGGGTGGTTGTTGTTTGTTTGCTGCTAAAATGGTTGGCTGACTAGTTTGTTGTTGTTCGTTGATGAGCCGATGTTAATGTTGATTGGATGTCATTGAAATTCGAAAAAGTATTAATTATCTATTAAGACGCCATTTCCATCTTCGTCATGGCAGTCATCACAATCATCGTCATTACCATCATCATCATCGTCATCACCATCGTCGTCGTCGTCGTCTCGCTCACCTGTCAATCTTCCTCATCTTCTCGCATATTTCCGCCTTTTCATCGGATGCAAACAGATTGGGCACCTCTCCACTGTTAAGGATGTTGCAGATCTCCTCCAGGAAGACTTCCTGCTTCAACTGGCGCACGAACCGACAGGTTGGTATGTGGTTGAAGTGTTAATTTCATTTCATGAATTTGTTTGAAAAGAAAAAATAAACAACAACAAATAAATAACAAATAAACAAACAAACAAACAAGCAAGCAAGCAAACAAACAAACAGACAGACAGAGATTTTTATTTTATAGAATAACGCCAACACTGACCTGGGAATCTGAGAAGAGGAAGACTCCAGGCATGTCGTTCAGCCCGGTCTTTCGGAACATGGACTTGAGGTCTTCGTGCCACTCCACTGAACTGTAACCTCTCGTCATCTCAATCTGTTGTTGTTGTTGTTGAGGATGTTGTTGTTGATGTTGTTTGGCGCGTTAGAAAGGTTAGTGGGTGGTGGGTTGGTTGTAGGAAAGCATTTGTTCAACGTTTGCTTTGAAAATTTTTTAACTACACAGGCGTAAGAGAAAAAAAAATTAAGAAAAACATAGAAAGAAGGAAAGAAAAGAAGAATAAAAAAGTAAGAGAGTACAAAATGCAATTCTATCAAAGTTTTAAATTTTGTCTTCTTTTTAATACTTCGTAAATGTCAAAATCCATCATGTGAGTGGCTAATCTTGTGAGGGAATGTTTGCCGGAGCCACCCAGCCCGACGAGAAGGACATGACCACCAGGTTGCACCAACACTCGGGTCAGGCGGGCTACGTGTTCTATCACGAACCTGGGTTTCCAGTGTTCAGTTAATCATCCTCATCATCCTCATCATCGACATCATCATCTTCATGCCGACAATTAAACTGACTTGAACACAACAAGATTTATGGGCTTCTTACTGAAACCGTTGTAATCTTCAAGACTGCTTTCTACGTTGGCCATCAGCCAACCAACATTAACAGCTTCCCTGTACAATTTTTGATGAGTACTGAGGTTGACGGCAGAGCCCGCCACTGCAACAGCGCTGGTGACGGCAGACGTTGGCAGCATTGAATTAACGTCGATAGCTGAGAGTGTTGCAGCTTGTCCAATTCTTGTGGACGGTGCATTAGCCACAGGAATCAAATTAACGGCGCTCACGTTTATAAACCCGAAATCGCAAAAAATTAATTTTGAGAGTTGATGTGATCCAATAACATTTGAACTGTCGTCAGTTAAGTTAGCAAAAATAGTCTGAAAGTTGGATGCCAGAGTTGTATCAACTTGCTGCTTAATGGCTTGCACCAGCCACTCGTGGTCTGCCAGATCTATCAGACGGTCACCAAACACACGAAGTACCTGAGAAGATTCATATTGTTTGGTATTCCTTTATATTTAGTTTTATATATATTATCTAAATATTTTTATACAAATAAATCTTTTTATTTAACCAGGACAAACACATGGAATCATTTGACCTCTAACCTCGTGTACCCACAACTTAACAAAATCTTTCAAGTAGGGTAAAGCAGCAGGTTGACCGAGAGTTAAACCCTGGATGACCCTACTGGCGTCTCTTAAATTAAAGAGATAGTGAGACTTGGAGGGGGTGGAGAGGAGGTTGGTCATGGCCTGGTAGTAGATGTTCAATGTCGCATTGATCAGCTGTGTGCTCATTTCTTCGAACTGCTCTCCAAAGTTCCTATGAAGGGTGGTAACATAAGAGTAGGTAGGAATACTAAAACTACGTTGAAGATGATCGTAGGTCATACTGTGATGAATCGTGATGGTGGAAAGGGGCAATTATGAAAATTATCTTTATAAAAATAAATAACCGAGTCCAAATATTATGGTGACAGTTAAGCATCAGATGAGCCAACCTGATGGTGAGATGCCAGTTCATGATGACCTTGAAGATCCTCTTCAAATTGTGAGACTCGTACTGATTGGCTGTAACCAAGTTGAAGTGACGCATGAACCGCGGTGTCACAGAGTTCATGCTGCGACCTTCGGAGGTCAAACAATCAAATATCGTTGTCAATGAATGCAATAGGCTTCAACAAGAACAAATTTCATTGAAGTTTCACTAGCCTGAGTGAGTCATGCATCCGATCATGATGACGTCATGTATGAAGATGGTTGACGTGTCCGAGGCATCGTACCAGATCTTCTGATCGATCAACTGTCTGAGCAGTTCAATGGGAGGCTGTGCACCAAACTGTTCCACCAGAGGCATGTGCATGTCGTCGATGAAGAAGACCTTCGTACGTATATAGGTATGCATGCATGTGCGTTTCAACCATTGTGTCGGGGTTAGTAACTAACTAACAACATTCAACTCACCAAAAACCAATGCATATAAAGAAAATGGGCAGCATGATAAGTCTAAACTTTTGAAAGCGAAACAGACTTAACAGATGTTAAGCGCGTGTCTCTGAATAAATCTAAGCGTGATTTATTTATTTTATTTTATTCGCTCATTCATTTTTTATCAACAATCCAAGGATCTACTAAATGGAATGACTACTGACCAATTTTTTCCCCTTAGCCGCCCCATAGTTGCCCCTACCCTTCTTCTCCAGTTTGGACATGAAGAGTGACTGAACCTCCATTGAAGAAGTCTGCGACGAGAATGAGAAGGCGTTGGCCACGAAAGATTCCTTGTTCATTTGGCTCAGTAGGTAGCTCTGCGCATATGCATGTGCATGTGCATCTTGTGTGGATGTATGCTGGCGTGTGTGTATGTGTGCGTGTGTGTGTGTGAGTGTTTGCGTAAATGTGCGTGCGTATATATGCGTATGCGTATCGACGTAATTGTAATCCATAACATCCGTAACATCATCCTCACCATTGTTGTATACAGAGCGCCATCATCAACTTAACCATCATTCATTCATCCTCACGTTAACACCAAGCAGACGTTAACAGAACCTAACAGTGGTCAGCGCACTTTTTCCCGCGCCAGATGGGCCAATGAAGATGAGTGGATGATGGTGCGTTATCAACAAATCAAGTATCATCTGGCACCTGTTTGAATAACAATGGTGTACTTATTTGTTTACTATTATTTAACCATCTGGTTGTCTATCATCTATTTATTCATTCATTTGTTCGTTCGTTCGTTTATTCTTTCATTCATTAACTCACTCATCCATCCGTTCATTTATTTATTCACTTATATAATACTCACTCACTCACTCACTCACTCACTCACTCACTCACTCACTCACTCACTCACTCACTCACTCACTCACTCACTCACTCACTCACCCACCAACCTGATAGTATCAACAGTGGGCACGATGATCTCATTGTAGGGGCAGTCCTTAGGGTACTCGGGCATCTCAGCGGTCTTGTCCATCCAGAGCTCCCAGCTGTACAGCTTATCCTTCACCAGGCAGTAGTCGAAGACAGTGTACCTCACCCCCACATTTTTTGCCGCCACTGAGATGATGTGTCCACTGGAACTCTTTTTAGTTTTACCATCGGTTTGGCCATTATCATTTCCTTCTTCTTCTTCTTTATCTTCTTCATCATCATCTTTTTCTTCTTCTTCTTCTTCACCACCATCATATTTATCAGGATCGTGATCATTATCGCGATTTGTTTCTTTTACTTCCTCTTCCTCCCAATCATCATCCCGACGATCATTCTCATCCTCCTCATCTTCACCCTCGTTGCCGGGAAAGCATGCGACACTTGGCGGATGTTGCCACGTTTTTGGATCGATGCCCAATGGTCCTGCTATGTATGCCGGAAGGTTACCCTGCAAGATCACCATCATCATCCTTACATCATCATCATCCTCATCATAATCACGTCATCATCACCATCATCATCATCCTTTTTATCATCATCACGTCATCATCATCATCATCATGACCTTCATGATGGTCCTGAGAAAGCGATCAAACATGGGCTGGCTGTCGGTTACGCAGGTAGCTCCGACGGACCACACCAGGCAGAAGAAGAATATGAACTGATGATGATGATGACGTTGGCGATGATGGTGTTGTTGGTAATAATGATGATTATGATGATGATGATGGTGATGATGATGATTGTGTTATTATGATGATGTTGTTAATAATGATCGAACAAACTATCAATTATAAAAACGTAGTCATCGTCGTTATCATCATCGTCATCATCATCATCATTATCATCACTATCGTCTTCGACACTGTCATCATCAGCTACAATACAAAACATCATCACAAAAATGATAGATGCACATCATCATCATCATCTTCTTCTTCCTCCTCACCTCGAGATTCTGAAGCTTTTCATGAGTCTTGATCCACCTGATTTGATTGGCGTCGTGGTAATCGTCAATGAGGCAGTCGATCAGCCTCAACATGCTCGTTACCAGGTTCGATTCGTAAGTCGGGTACAACTCCTGGTAGGCGGATAGATATATGGATGGATGCATGCACGCATGGAAGGGTGAATAGATAGATCACCACAACAACTACATCACATGACCACAATGACCACACCCAACAACGATAGTGATGATGATTTATAGTTTTTTCGACCATGACCACACCCCACCCAATCACTAGAACGAATCAAATGAACCACCTTGAGATAGAATTTGGAATAGGTGAGGACAACATCAATGTAGGTATCGAAGAGATAGACAACTAGTTGGACGAGGGGCTCGTTGAATGACTGAGGTAGAGTCAAGAGCCAGCTATCAAACAGCACACGCCAACCCAACAACTTCGGAGACATGTAGATCATTCCACATCTCGATACCTTCATCATCGCCAACGTCGTTGTCATCATGCAAAAGATTAGACACGTCAATAAATTATTTTGGCTCTGTTATTTAAAAGTAAAAAATGTAAAGCTGCCACAGCCAAGCAGCAACTGCGGTTGGCTAGACTCAGTTTCTATAAGTGCATCACAACACAACACTTATATTACTATCATTATAAATACCAGATAGAGCAACAACAACAGCATCATCAACAACATATACAACATTCTGAACATCAACAACGATAACAACAACTGCGACAACAACAGTAAGGAAACAACAAAGCATATGAACAGCAACAGAAGCGGCCACAGCCTCATACAGTAGCAGGAGAGGCGACGGCGAGATCGAGCGTTTCGAAGATGAGGTTCATGCGGGGAGACATCTGGATGATCTCGCCACTCATCAGACACAGCTTCTTGTTGTCGTCGAGGACGGTGTTCATGCTCTCGATCCACACGGCGTCCACTGGGCCGTCGAATATGAGCCACTGCCTCCTTTCTGACTGTTGACGTCGTCGTCGTTGTGGTTGTCGTTGGCGTGTGGATGTCGTTGTGTGGGTGTTAATGTTGTTATCATTATTATCCTCATCATCATCATCATCATCTCGTCATCGATGTCGCAATCTCCACCCCCCATCATCATCATCATCATCCTGGTTGCGACAAAACACGTGACCTCGGTAGAAGCCTGAGCCCGGAAGGAAGTGGCCAGCACCCCGTCATACCACTCGTGCGATACAGGGTCGAAGTTGCCGTACAACTGACCAATCGTTATCGACTTCGGGTTGAGCACCTTGTACTCGGCACAATATTCTTCCAGAATAGACTGAGTGAAAATGACGATAATGATGATGATGACTAAGATGATGATGAAGTGATGATGACTAGCACAAAAATGTTGAAGATGATGATGAAGATGATAATGAAGATGATGATGATGAGAATGATGATGCAGATGATGATGAAGGGGATGATGAAGAGGATGACGACTAACAAAATGATGATGACTATTAAGATGAAGATTGTGATGATGAAAAGATAGTAAAAAAGACAATTCAGACAATGGTGTCAACGTAGTCATCATCATGATCATGATCATCATCGTCATCATCATCATGATCATCGTCATCATCATCGTCGTCATCATGATCATCGTCATCTTCATCATCAACTCCAGGCCCACCGCGACTAACATCTCTGTTGGCAATGCAGAGGGTCTCAGCCAGCACCTTGTACGCACTCGTCTTGCCTGAGAATGATTCGCCAACAATCATGAAGCCGTGACGAACGATCATCATCTCGTAGATCTACCAGCAGAACATTCAGACAACTACAAATATAACAACATGCATACAGTACCGACAACTACACATATAACAACATGCATACAGTACAGACAACTACACATATAACAACATGCATTCATAGAGACCCAAATACAAAACCAGCACACATAAACGTACGAACATCTTCGTATTCACATATTTAAATTAGCTCATTGACAATTATAGTAAGCAGTCAATCAATTATTAACCAGCGAATAATCGATCAATCAACCAACCGATTAATCAACCAACCATCCAACCAATCAATCAACCAACCAATCAACCAACCAACCAACCAATCATTCAACCAACCAGCCAATCAATAAAACAGCCAACGAACCAATCATTCGACCAATCAATCAATCAATCAATCAATCAATCAATCAATCAATCAATCAATCAATCAATCAATCAATCAATCAATCAATCAATCAATCAATCAATCAATCAATCAATCAATCAATCAATCAATCAATCAATCAATCAATCAATCAATCAATCAATCAATCAATCAATCAATCAATCAATCAATCAATCAATCAATCAATCAATCAACCAATCAATCAACAAACCAACCAATCAACCAACCAATCGTCAATCCAATCAAACAGCCAACGAACCAATCAAAAAGCTACAACCTGTTGTATCTTCTCAAGGAAGTACTGCGTGCATTGGAGGTTCCTCCTCTTGCAGACATCAGCAACGATGGCGTTGAACGAGTCGTAGTCAGGTTTGGGCAGTTCAATTTCAGGGAAGAGGTCCTTGGTGATGCTCTTGAAGAGGGGGAGGTCGTGGGAGAGGAACTTCGGCAGGTTCACATCAACGATCGACTGCAACATCAACACATCCTCGTTCTCCAGGGGACGGCGGAGCTGGTGGAAATTCGAAGGAATAAATGAATGAATGAATAAATAATTGAATGAATAATTAAATGAATAAATGAATGAATGAATAAGTGATTAAATGAATGAATGAATGAAGGAATGAATGAATGGATGAATGAATGAATCGATAAATGAATAAATGAGCGATAAAAAGAGTGAATATGTGAATGCATTAGTGGTCGGACAGCATAAATATGACTGAATGGATACAAACCTTCAGATTAGAAGCGGCAGTGAGAACAGACTTGACGGCCCTCATACCATAGTCGTAGTGATTTTGGTAGGAGAGCTGCTCAGAGCACAAACTAAACAAAAATATCGTCATAATCGTCACCACCTCAGTGATTGTCACCATCTGCATTATCACCAACACGTCACCATCGGTGTCGTAATCATCACCATCATTATAAACACTACCACAACCACCACCACGCATCACCATTGTTACCATCGTCATCGTCACAACTGACCGATAAGTGGCAACGACCTTGACCGCCAGTGGTCTGGCCTCGATGAAGCCGCACGAGTACAGGCTGATTTCAGATATCATGGCGTAATCTGGCACCATCATGGCCACCGGTCTGAAGAGTGCCTGAGTGTCAGTGTGTGTGTGTGTGTGTGTGTGTTTATGTGCATATGTGCGTGTGTCTGTGTTTGTACGTGTGCTTGATGGCTAGGACAAAAAACAAAGAAAAGATGGTAATAGTATAGTAACCACAACAATTACACCAAAAACGACGACACTGATGACGACCTTGAGATTATCGGGAAGTTCCGATCTGCCAGCATATCCAGGATTCATGGTGATGAAGACTGAGCATGTTCTGTCCAGTTGTATGTGGGTGCCCTCAAATATCATGGTCGCCACCCCTGATTTGATACCTGCACTCACCGTTCGTTGTGTTGCTTGTTTTGGTATGTGTATTCGTAAGTGTTTGTTTGTGTTCGTATGATTCGTTTGTGCTTGTTTCTGTTTGTATGCGTTCACTTGTGTGCGTTCATATGTGTTTGTTCATTCATGTTCAAGATTAATTAGGAAGCAAATTGGAAAAAATGATGGCATTGCCATCGGAAGCAACAGCAAGAAATGCTACAATGAATACAAAAGATGGACCCTGTTGAATGGTGAGGATCTGCTGGGCGACTACAGACAGCACTTCAAGATCGATCCTGTTGAACTCGTCGAAACACGACCACGCTCCACACGAGGCGAGTCCCTTCATTGAAAAACATACTTACTTCATTCATCCTCATCGTCATCATCATCCTCAACATCAACAGCAACCCCATTTTCATTTCTTTCCTTAGCGTCACTATCAAGGAAACATCATAAGCACCTTGAAGAACTTTCCTAAGGCCAAATAATCCAACCCATCTGAACAGTTGAAGACGACACACTGCTTGGCAACTGCCTTCGCCAAATCTTTCGTTGTTTCCGTTTTGCCAGTGCCCGCTGGACCTTCTGGAGCTCCGCCCAGGTTTAAATGTAGAGCACCAAACAGAGTTCTGATTGGTTGTTGTGTAGAACGAAACGATGTGACTGGTTTGCAGAACAGAATAAAATATCGTGCTCCCTACTAGAATTCATAAACTTATTAATTTGTAAATGCAAAGCTAAACTAGCACAACCAAGACACTGTTGACAATAACAGCAAACGAAAAAACGATAATAAATACATTCTCTCCACCCTTTTTCTTTTCAGCAGGATCTCACCTGTAGCAGCGATCAGTGAGTGGGGTGATGACAAGCCTGGGCGTGTTGCCGAGGTACTCATAACCGTAAAGAAGTTCACAGTTGATCATCCGCGTGTTCATGCGCTGGTTCTTTGTTGCAATAAATAACCGATATTAATGTTGCTACTAATATTGACGACGAGATAGCGTAATTGTTAAGGCGTTTGCTCTCTTTCTTCTCTCTCTCTCTCTTTCTCTCTCTCTCTCTTTCTCTCACTGTTAACGCACTGCAATGCAAAGAGTTGTAGAGAGAATGCAAAGATGGTAGTCTCATTCAGGTGCATCCCCACCCCATGCGCTGTGACTATGTCCTGCTGATATCTCGTAGAGTTAGTAAACAAATACTGTAGTAAAAACTTAATATTATCATAACTGTTGCCATCAGCAACGCTATCATCACCAGGATGATGGTAGAAAACAACGAGCCAACCTCCCAATAGTATCTCAGCTGACAGAGCCAGTTGAAGTCATTCTCATCATCGACCTTCTTCTCGACGAGGGATGCCACGATGTCCCTGGCGTGTACGTCAAGAACGATGAGGGCCTGCAACGTCACCCTATTCTGTAGAGATAACTTGCCCCTCACTAATCTCACTATCTCTTCGATTTGTCGGTTGTTCAGCTGCGTGACGTAATTCAGCAGCTATAAAGTTACACTAATTTAACCACCACATTTTCCACCACCAACATCCTCTCTATATTTCTCCCCGTAGGTATCACATTCATCTTCACCATCATAAATGTCATATTCATCCTCACCACCACTACCATCGTCATCATCGTCATCGTCAGGAACCTCAAGATATTCATTCATGGCAATCCCTCCAATACTAAGGGCATCATGGACGCAGGTGGTCCAGACCTTCTGTGAGACACAGAGGACCGCCTGCCCCGGCCACTCCTTCACCCAGTGACCACGACTCACCAAGTTGTACGACTTGATGCACTTGGAAATTATCTGTGTATGTGTGTGTGTATGTGAGAGAGAGAGAGAGAAAGAGAGAGAGAAAGAGAGAGAGCTTTTACTTGTGAGTACGCGTTTGTGTATTTGCAAGTATGCGTGTGTACTATACATACGAATGTATATGTCCTTCTTTATTTATTGTATCATTAGACTTTGGACAAAACCAATAAACCAAATAAAAAATTAAATTAAAAAAATCAAAAAGCGAATTAATTAAACAATCCATTTATTAAGCTAATGTGAATGAAAAGAAATAAATAATTAAATGAGTAAATGAATGAATGAATAAATGAACGAATGAAAAACATGCAAGAGTGAGCGCATGAATGAATACAGAAGTAAGTGCCTAATTGAATGAATGAACCTTCTTAAGAGTGAAAATCATGACTTTCTCCAGCTCCAACAGCCACTTCTCCACAGCCCCCTTCACGTCTGACGTACTTACAACTTGTTTCAACTCTATCACCTCACCTGTTCAGATGATGACGATGACGATGTCGAAGCTGATGAGGATGGTGATGATATCAATGATGATGCCGATGATGATATCAATGCCGATGACGATGATGATGGTGGTGATAGTCCCGATAATGATAACCCCAATGAAATATTGACGATGATCACAATATTAGGACAAAGGTGACGAGGAAAGAAGCAGTGATGATGATGATGATAACTATGATAACAGTTAAAAAAATACTGAGGATGATGACGACGGTGAGGTCGTTGAAATAATAATGACAAAGACGATAATGATGACAAAGTTGATAATGACGATGATGATGACGACGATGATGGTGAAGTTTGAGATAGAGATGATGATGACGACGATGATGGCAAAGCTAAAACGACGACGACGACGATGATGATGATGACGTTCAGCATGTTCACCTTCACTGCTCATCATCTTGGTGATGTCGAGAACGTCAGGAGTGAAGTCAAGCTTGGCAATCCCCTCAAAACATTTTTTCAGATGAGGTTGCACCCTGTTTCAGAGGATGGATGGATGAATGGATGGACGGATGGATCAGTAGATGAATGGATAGATGGATGGATGAATGGATGGATGGATGGATCCATGGATGGATCCATGGATGAATCAGTAGATAGATAGAACAGTAGATGGATGGATGGATCAATTTTGAATGGTTAAATTAATAGGGAAAGGAGAATTGATAGCAAAATGAGTGAGAAGATGATACGACGGTGAATAAATGAATGAACATTCAAATGGATGGATGGATAAAGTTGTGAATATTTAAAAAATGGGCAATCACTCTATCAATCAATTAGCCATTCAACCAGCCAAACAATTAATCATACAAACAATCAATCAATCAACCAACAAACCAACCAATCAACTCAACAAATAAATAAACAGACTACCTCTTCGGATCCTTAGTTTCCGCCAATATTTCGAGTAGTTCGTCATTTGAGAGGAAGAAGAAGCGAGGAAAATAGAGTCTTTTCTTCTCGAGGTAATCATTCAAGGCCTTGTTAAGAACACATGCCAAATGATATTAATGAATAATATTAAATGGTCGTTTCAGTTTTAAATAGAACGGTGTCTAGAAATGAGAAAAAGATGGTCTATATATTCTCTATTAGGCCGCTATAAAGGATATATTATAAAACAAAAACTTATCTATTCAATAAGTATTTGTCAGAAATGATAACTTTGTCTAAACGGCCCGGACTACAATGGTCTTCTCATTTCTACTTTATTCCTGGTTTTTATTTTTAAAAACTGTTTATCTTTCTGTCCGATACTTTTTCAGAGCAAGTCTCAAAACCCATCCATTTAAAAAGTTCAGTGAGGGGTTTGTTTGTTGTACACCAAAGAAATATACATAATGTTCAAGTACTTTTTGCGCGATATCTTTTACGCATGAGATGCGATTTCGCAAAAAAGCCTACTTTTTGGATGGTCTCAAGTATTTCGTTTGATTTCTGAAGCTTCTGCAGCAGTTTCTCAATGGAGATCACATCCATCACGTTCGGATTGGCATTTACCTGGAATCATTATAAGCATCATCAACACCTACCCATCATCACACCATCATCGTCGAAGTCATCACCGTTTTCACATGATCAGCACATAATCATTATCATCACCACATTATCATCATCATCATCAACGCAACATTATCATCATCACCTTAGTCATCAGTTCCCTCCACATCTTATCGACAGATCCAAACTTCCTGGCCTCCTCCATCATCTGGTTCATGATGTCAGGCGAGCTGAAGATGGGTTCCAGGTACATCCAGGCCGACTGAACCTTCAACCATTCGGTCAGTATCGTCGATAGCAACATTATCGTGTCGTACCAGGCTCTGTTTGCAAGCAATCAATCGTTCAATCGTTCGTTCGTAGTTGTTGTTGCAGATGTTCGTTCCATTGTGATTGTTTGTTTGTTTGTACTTGTTCATTGGTTTGTTGTTGTTTGTGTGTGTTTGGAGTTGTTCATTTGTTTGTTTGTTAATTTGTTTGTTTGAGGGTTTGTTAATTGTATAATTACCAACAAACACAACAACATCAACCATATAACTTCAGCCTTAACTTCAAAAACATGAACAAAAACATCGCACTAACAAAGTTTCTTCTTCGATTTGTTTGATGTAGAGTGAGAACTTCATGATCTGTGCCTTCAGTATGTGATCTTCCAACAACATCTGAATGTCCTCGATACTCGAAAGTACATAAGTACCCGTGTCCTTGTATGGGTGCAAGTTGAACTGCACCTAAGTGAGTGGTTGGTTGGTTGGCTGGTTAGGTGGTTGACTGATTAGTCGGTTGATTGATTGATTGATTGATTGACTGGCAGGCTAATTTGCAGAATAACTGTGCAATTCGTCGACATGTTTTTATGAATCCAATAACTTGGTTGTGTGTGGATTGATTGGATGACTTTCTTCGTTTATATAAAATCAAAATAATATTAGTTTTTAGATAAAAATATAAATAAATATTGAACAATCATAGCAATAAGCCAGCTCAGCTCAGCACACAGTTTATCACCTGGTCAATCCGTCAAATAAATCAATCAACTGATCAGTTAATTCGTTCACTCCACCAATCTACACCCACTAACGTCCAATCATTCCTTCCCCCCACTAACGTCCAACCATTCCTCCCCCCCCCACTAACGTCCAACCATTCCTCCCCCCCACTAACGTCCAACCATTCCTTCCTTCGCCCCCCCACTAACGTCCAACCATTCCTTCTTCATTTTTGCCAGCATCAACTTCAAGCTGTACTCCTTAGCTGCAAAATCCGCAATCGGTTCGAACTGACCAATGTACTGTTCGACGTTCATCTCGATGGCCTTGTTCAAGGTCAACTGGTCAGGGTCGAAAGTGGTGCCGATGATTTGGAAGACCTCCGCCCAGTATCTGTCAGTCATGCCGGGGTGGAAGAGGGCATGCAGGAGGGGGATGTTGTTGCGGAAATCCTCCACTTTCTGCTTCATCTGCTCAGCGTGCAAAGTGCAATCTCATAAAAAAAATTTCATGCAACTTTCACGCAATTATTCAAATGAATAAAAAAATTTAATTTGTGTTCAAACAAATAATTTTACTACTGAATCGAAAATTCAATTTTGCATCAATCGCTTAACCGATATAGGCCTACCAGTCGAACATAAAACCGCTCAATCTTCGTAGCAGCAGCAGCAGCAACCAACCTTTATAGCCATTATTTTGAGTCCAATTTGTTCGGTGAAAATTTTTTCGAACTTGAAGAACATTTTGAGGAAGGTGTCCGACTCAGCGTCGATTTGATCAGGTGTGATCGAAGAACGAGGTCCATACATCCAGATTCTAGTTGGTAGGGTGGTTGATTGGTTGGTTGCATACCAAGTCGTTTGATTGATTGAAAATTCTTATCGGTTAGTTAATTGGTTGTGTGAATAACTGAGTGTTTGGCTGGTTGGTTGGTTAGTTGGTTGGTTGGTTGCCTGTCAAAATATTTGATTGAATGTTTGGTTTGTTAGGTTAGTTGATTGATTAGTTAAATAATGAATATTTGGTTAGTAAAAAAGTTATAAAATAATCAATATAAATAAAGTTTACGAAAACAACAACAAAAATATATTGTCAGTGTTTTCAGTAGCCGTGCCTAATTAATTACCTAATTATTAATTAATTAATGAACTAGTTAATTAATTAAATGATTAATTAATTAGTAATCAATCTATGCAATGATCCTTTTAAAAACTGATAAGTAAAACTGAAGGCAACTCCCTACTCTTGTTTCTTATTGAAGCCATCGATGAGCTCAAAAAATTGGAGGTATGGTTTCAAGTTGTTGATGACCTATAATTATTATTGTTATTACTATTATTATTATTATAATTATTACTATTATTAGTACTATTGTTATTATGATGAAATAAACATGAGGCAAGACATATAGTCTCTATGCCCCATCCAAAAATATAAAAGGAAACAGTGTAGCACACAATATGTAGCACAGAGAAACACGTACTTATGAACCAACATAATCAAATTATTAGTGCATCGTTCGAAATAATGTTGAAACAATTTATATGGTTTATATAATTAATTTATATATTTATGTCAACATCACCTACTTATTCATCATCGTCATCATCAACAGCAGCAACATCATAACCATCATCAACATCGTTATCATCACCTGTGTTTTAAGGGGCATGGGTGTGTTGGGCCAGCCGTAAGCAGTTTCCTCGATCCACAGAGCTTCGATCTGATGCGGGAGAAGGATAGTTCACATTTCAAAGATGATGTTTTATCATCATTATTATTATCTTATTCAATATCATATTCTTCATCACAACCTCGCCCTCATCAACTTCGCAATCACCAACTTTAAAATAAATCCCTCCACCACTGTCATCCTAGGCAAACAAAATAAATGCTATTCCCTCTCAAAACATTATCCGCAAAGCACATCAAAATCTCTTTGAGTGTCTGAACTGAGAATTTCTCTGCATTTAAACCTGATCGCCGGATCCCGGAAACTGAAATTTCAACCAGCACACCATATCCTCATCGGACATAAACAATTGTTGCGTTTTATGGATCTTTTTAAATCCGAACCCAGCTACCGCTACGTCCTCAACTCAATCATCCCCACCATGATATAATGACCACCAGAGTGGACATCATCATCATCATCATCATTATCATAACAAACTTCATTATTAATCTCCTGGGTAGCGAGGTTGAGTTTGCTAACGGTCTCCCAGTACGTGTTGAATCGATCGAGGTTCTCGATGAACTTCAACTGGCCGATCTCATACTCCAGCATCTCCAAGCGATTTTTCAGGTTTGTTCTTTTCGTCTTTGTGTATTTTTATGTTTTTTATTATTATGTGTATTTGTGTGTGTGTGTGTGTGTGTGCGCGCGCGCGCGCGGACGCATGTACTCAATCATGTATTAAACAAAACCTGACCATGATAGCAGCCTGCAGTTCTTTCTTTGTCTTCTCTATGACCTGCTGACACTGACTAAGGCTCAATTCCAACTTGTTCTTCCACAGGAATGTCTCAACATTCAGCTTCATATCGTCAACTGTGATGATGCCGTGATCCAGCAGGAAGAGCAGTTGTATGTGGCTGGCCTGGTTGTGTAGAGTCGTGTCGTGTGAAATTGTCTGACGAGTTTGTTATCGTATATTCATCCAAAGAAATCAAACAATCAACCATTATATGAACCTGCAACTTATCCTGAAGTTCGACTGCCAACTTCTCCTTGACAACGCTGACGTAATCAATCAGCTCCATCAGCTCCTTCGTTGTCGTCGGAATGACCATCAACCCATTTGCAACGTGTTGGTACTCCATGCATAAACTGATTTGTTAATTTATTGGTTAACTGATTGATTGGTTGATTGATTGATTGATTGATTGATTGGTTGGTTCGTTTTTTTGTTTGTTAATTGATTGGTTTGTTGATTGATTGATTGGTTCATTAATTTATAGTCTTGCTGGTTGATGAAATTGTTATTTGGCTGATAAATTAGTAACTGATTGATCGACTGATTAATGAATGTGTCCGTTAAATAAGCTCTTAGACGGTTTCAGACAACTAAAAAACATCTTGTCTCGCTTCGCGCCAACCAGGCTTGTGCCCAAGACGAGATACTCGCATATTGTCATAAGATCAATTACATGACAGACAACAACAACAACAACAACTTAAACAAAATAATTCACAACAACAACGTATACAACAATCTATACAACAAAAAAACAATACAACAACAACATATACAACAACAAAATAAACAAGAACATTTATACAACAAATAACAAAACAACAACAACCACATATACAACAATTTAAACAACAATGAACTGCAACAGCAAGAGCAGCAGCAACTACATATAGACAACAAAAACCCAAACAGCAGCAACAACAACAATAAACAACAGTAACATAAACAACAACCTACACAACAAAAACCAAAACAACAACAAAACAGCAGCAAAAGCAGCAGCAGCAATAACAAAACAACTACAACAGTGTCGGACATCTTATTGGCTCTGTTGTGACTCGATATCATTTCATTGAGTAGCAGACCAATCAGTCCTTCAGTCCTCTTCACGAGGTTCCTCGTCAACACTTCACAGTGTATTTCAAACATCCCGGAGAATATTACCTGAATGATGATGGCGATGATGATGAAGACGACGACGATGATGATGATCAGGGCGACGATGATGAAGATGATGAGGAGGACGATGATGATGAGTATGATGATGATGATGTTGTTGATGAGAAGACTGTTAATAAAAATGATGGAGATGATGATACATTAATGATATGATATAATATGATATGATGACTGAAGATATAATCTGAATGATGATGGCGAGGATGGCGATAATGATAATACGATGAAAGGATGATGATGCTGACGATGCATAAAATTAGTAGCGATTAAAAAGAAGGTAAAATAGGAGGATAGAGAAAAGAGGGCAGTGATGCTAATGATTGGATGGGATAACTATGACCAATGTTGTTAATGTGACGAAAACTATTTTTCCATCATTTTCATTTTCATCCTCCTACTACTCTTTATAATCATTACCATCATCATCGTCATCACCACCATCATCGTCATCACCATCATCATCGTCATCACTCTCATCTCCATCGTTAAAAACATACAGGTGGCACAGCGGCGGACACCTTGTGGCAAATTTTTTCATACCTCAAAACTTCCTCGCCAATCATATCGAAGGTCAGGTTGTCACGTGACAGAAAATGGGCTATCTCTTTGTCCGCCTTCAGTTCAATGGTCAAAGAAAAAATGAAAGACGGATGAACGAACAAATGAATGAACTAATGAATGAATGAATGAACGAATGAATGAATGAATTAATGAATGAATTAATAAAAAATTACTAAAAATTATAAATGAATAATTGAATGTTTGAATGCAAACCTGTTCAGTGATAACAGATTGATACTCATCAAATATCTCAGCGTGCTCCAGGACTGACAATCTTTCCCTTTCCAACATGTCAAGAACCTGTTAATTAATTAATTCATTCATTCATTCATTCATTCATTCATTCGTTCGTTCGTTCGTTTGTTGGTTTGTTTGTTCGTTTGTACAATTAATCAACAAATCTTTTGTTCTTTTGTTTATTCATTTGCTTATCAATTCATTCCTTAGACCAATATTTAAGCATCCCTCAATTAATTAGAAATTAATTCATTCATCACAGCCTCATTCAGCCTCCCACCCTCTCCAACCTTCTGCTTGCATTCTTCGACAAAATCATCAAAGATAGTCAGCCGCAGAAAGTCTTCGATAACCAGTTTGTTCTTCTCCTATCCAAATATTCATCCATCCAATATGAGCCGTATAAATAATTTATGCATGCATCAAATGAAGACCATATAAATAATTCATGCATGCATCTCCAATGTACAACACTAAATACAATACATATATCCATTAAAACATTCAATCGTTTAAGCAAGCACGCACGCACACACACATACACACGTTTATAGCGCGGACAACAAAACAAGTTAAAAAACATACACACACGCACTCCAATATGTTTATCGATTTATTCATTTATTAACAATATTCAAAGAGTGCACAAACCAGCCCAGAATTATAGAGCAACCCCTCAACTTTGGGAAATATTTTGGCCGCCTTGAGGATGATGTCCAGCATGTAGATGATGACGACCTCGAAGTCCTTCCAAGTGGGCTCAAGCCCGATGGAGGTCTTGTCGCAAATGAATCGAACAATGAAGCCGGGCAGGCTGCAGTCTGATACTGAACTCTGAGGAGCATGTGCGTGTGTTGCGATGTGATGCAATGTCTGCCGGTCGCTCGAAACGCTACTCAAGTAGGAAGTATGATTGGTGGTCACGTGAAATATGGTGATGACTATGATTATGATGATGACGACGTCGTTGATTTCGACGTTGATGACGAGAATGATGGTGATGAACACAAAGATACTGATGACGAGAATGATGAACAAGAAGATATTGATGAAGACAATGACGATGAGCCTGGAATGACGATAAAATGATGATTAGAATAATGATGATATTATACTTCAATACCGTATTTGAATAATGATGACAACAACAAACAGTATAAAAAAGACGATGACGACGATAATGATAGCTAACATGAGGTTCAGAGAGCATCTTGGTGTAGCTGCTGAGCGAGTTAATGATAAGTTGTTGCAGCTGGAGCGCCATGAGCGTATCAACGCAGCTGTAGAAATGCTTCTTCCTCAGGGTCTGCTCCCTGCTGGGCACCAGCTTGTTCGCGTTTGCCTCGCATATTATGTTCAACACTTGGCAGTACCATCTGCGTGTGTGCGTGTGGATGTGGGCGCGTGTGAATGTGGGCGCGTGAATGTGTGGACGCACCTGCGTGAATGTGTATCTCATCTGGGTCTGCGAGCAGCGTGTATGCGTCGAGAACAATAAATGAGGTGATAGATATAATAGAAGTATTTTGCAGTATAAATATCTACAATCACTTCTCAAAACTACAAATCATAATCATCCTTATCATCATCGGCGTCATCGTCGTCATTCTTATCACCATCGTCATCTTAACCATCATCACCCTCCTCAACAGTCAACTGACTCGTCGAGCAGTTTCCTGATATTGATGCTGAAGTTATCGAGGCACATGAGGTGGTAGTCGGGCAGTTCGAGGGCACTGTCCAGTTTTGTGAACGCCTTCGTGTTTATCAGCATGAAGTCTCTGGTGGCCAGCGTGAGGGTGGAGAGGTGAAAGGAAGAATGAAGAAGATGACGAGGAGAACAGAAACATTGTCATAATTTATCAAATGATGACGACGACGATGATAAAATGAACGAGAGTTAAGTTGACGGTGTTGGCACTGTCAGCGGACAGACCTGTATGATTTCTGCCAGAGCATGTGGATGTGCGCCAGGCAGGGATTGGTGCAGTGCAGCAGTAACCTCAACCTCGACCTGTTTTTCTTGAAGCCGAACCGCCAGGACTCGGGGAACTGACCCAACTTGATGGGCAGACTGTACACTCGGCCAGGAGTGGGAGATGACTCATCCAGGACAAAATCAACTGATGGATCGACGAATGTACGAAGGTATGTACGAATTAAATTTTTTTATTAGCGCTTTATAAATTTCTGATAATAACAATAATAAAAAGATAAAATAACAATAATAATAAAACATTTATATGTCTGCATTGCATTGTGGGAAATACATTTCATGTAGATGTGATGAGGAAAATAAATGTTTATTGAGATCACTTGTTGTTTTTTTCATGCTGACGATGTAATCATTCTTGACCTGACCCAAGATGCACTGAATCAGGTCATTGTACTCTGTCTGTGTGCATACGTGAAATATTTTACGTTATATCTTTGCGAATCTGCATTGCTAAGCAAAATTTTAATTGGGACAACTCTTTTATCAGGCAACTAGCTAATCAGTCAACACATCAACCAAGTAACTTATCAGTCAGTCAGTCAGTCAGTCAGTCAGTCAGTCAGTCAGTCAGTCAGTCAGTCAGTCAGTCAGTCAGTCAGTCAGTCAGTCAGTCAGTCAGTCAGTCAGTCAGTCAGTCAGTCAGTCAGTCAGTCAGTCAGTCAGTCAGTCAGTCAGTCAGTCAGTCAGTCAGTCAGTCAGTCAGTCAGTCAGTCAGTCAGTCAGTCAGTCAGTCAGTCAGTCAGTCAGTCAGTCAGTCAGTCAGTCAGTCAGTCAGTCAGTCAGTCAGTCAGTCAGTCAGTCAGTCAGTCAGTCAGTCAGTCAGTCAGTCAGTCAGTCAGTCAGTCAGTCAGTCAGTCAGTCAATCAATCAAACAAACGGTCAATCAATCGATCAAACAAACGGTCAATCAATCGATCAAACAAACGGTCAATCAACCAACCGACCAATCAATCAATAACATGCTAACTGACCTACCTTCATGTGCTTGTTGAATCTGACCATTATCCTGTCAATGACCTCGTTACTCAGGGGAGTTATGTAGGCAGTGTCGACAGAGTTGTGAATGCAGTAGTTGTAACGCTGGTAAACATTAATTTCAAACCATTCAATGAAGAAAGTAGCTAAAAAAGTTCTTGCAGTCTTTTACTAACCAATAAAAATCTTTCATATTTTGTTAGATGAAGCGGATTTTCATCTTCATCATCTCCTAAACCATCATCCGTTTCTTCATTTGTACAATCCCCGACTCTTTATGTGAGTTCACATTAAATTATATTATAATTTAATTTAATTAATTAATATTTATTATAATGATAATAACTAGTACCTTCTGAATTATACTGATAAAAATTTTCAAGTGAAATGAAAAAAAAAATTTAAAAGAGTGTACGTCAGGTAGGAAAGCAGGGCAGTTTTGAAAGAATCTTTCGCACACCTCTTTTGGTACATCTCCATCCTGATAAAATCACTAACCTTCTCATATTCCTTAACATAGCTTTCTATTAGTGGAAAATTAAAAACGCAAAATTATAAAAATGTGGGTACACGAAAGGAAGTTTGATATATAATAAATGAAATCCAATATATATTTTTTCTTTAAATTTAAAATTGGTTGATAACACAAAAAATTTAATGTGCATCATGCATTTGTAAGGTGTGATATGGAATGCTATAATGTTAAACTTTTAATCTTAACGTGATGATGATTTATTTTATTATTCATCACTGAATTGACTTTTAGAAAAATAATTATAATAAAATTAATATTACTAATATATATACAATACAATACAGAATACACACTACACAAGTATAATATAAGATCTGATAAGTTGATTGTATGAAAAAAGAAAACTTAATTTTCTCAAACGATTTCGCGACTGATTTTTTATTGTATTTGAATTTAACTGGCGTATCCTTCCATTTGTATTTGTCCTTCGCTACGATCTCCTCAGTTAATTTCGGAAGAAGATAACCGCAAGAACTGTTCTGGACTTGGTTAAGTGACGTCACTTTTGGATTTTTTGGGTTCTTGGGTGGTAAAAATCATGTGATATATTGTTTTAGCTCGATTATTGAGTTTTTGTTAAAAATAAAATAGATAAGATGATAAAAATAAATATAAACCGAAAATAAGACAAACCTTGTCTTTAGACATTTTGAATAATGACAGTTGAAAATTAAATCATTAGCTGTTTTACCAAAAACTCTAAATGCGTGCAAAAAACGTCATTCTATCGCTAACATAAAAGCTGGACAATTTCTAAAAAATGAAAAAAAAGATTAATGCTACTGACTTTTGAGAAGAATTACGAAAATTAGTTGAACCTCTCTTATCTCCAATGAGTATGTTAAAGTTTTTTGGTCACTTTATGCGAAAGGAAGAAATGGAAAATATAACCACTACTGGAAAGACTGCAGTGAGAAGAGATCGCGGTCAACAACGAATAACATTTGTGAAGTCCTTGTGTCACTTGTTGAATACATCCACATCTCAACTGCTACAAAAGATCAGGTTTTGTGGAGGTCGATGGTCGCCAATGTCTTGGAAGGATAAGACGCGAGAAAGAAGTAGAAAAATCTGTCGCTTACTACTCTGAAGATGTTTCATTTTTTCTAAACTTTCCCGTTTTAGTAGCTAGTTCTTTATAATCACGTTTTATATTCTTTTCTTGTCTACAACCGTTTCTCAAAAATTTTACGAATTATTCTACACTGTAAACGCTTTTAATCAACCTTTTCTTTCTTTAATTACTAATTTCGTTTGCATAAATGCTCGCTTATAGTTTTAAAATAAGTTTGAGTAGATTTACTTTTTGAAAACTGTCTCTAGAGTTGAATTGTAATATTTTTTGTTTTAAATCTTTGAAGACATGTTGAAAACCAAGTTCGACAATTTGTTATAACACAAGAAACCTTTTTTTTAATTTGCAGGTAAGAAATGACATCTTATGGTAGTAGGTACTTATGAAAGGTAAGCCATTTTAAATATTTATCTCTACTGCTATCATTAGAAGTTTAAACGACTCATTCAATGATAACAGCATGTGGAAATAATTTATCGCGTGATAAGTAAACAAATCTCGATAAATAATGGCTAATAATTGATAGCACGATAAATGAATTGAAATATATGATGAGAAGAAAAATGATCAAAATGATTTAACGAAGTCTGCATGCACATATGAAATGAAGCCTTCCAATTATGTAGACCTGCAAGCATGTTACGAAGTGTAATTATGTCTGATGGTGGCGCAGCGTACAACCACAAAGTAAAAGGTGTGCAAACTATTATGAATGACCTGACGATGATGATATTGATGAAAAAACTAAAAGTGAATTAATCTGAAGATGAAACAAAAAACAACAAAATGCGAACATACATCCAGAACTTTATGGTGAACACAAACAAAACAAATTAACTGCTAACAAAACGAAGAAAAATTAAAAAAACCAATGAAAACAAAGTATATCCAATTACAACTGGATATATTGGACATATATAATTGTACTGATCTAAAATGTCCTCCAATTATTATCTTTATAATAATCTAAGAGGAAAAATGCATAAATAATTATGAACATACCTGTAAGTAAATATGCAATGAATGTTTCACACAAAGTGCATGCATCTAAATATTCATCTGATATAGTATAGACTACCAATGATTTCGTTAAATACGCATATGATATATATACATCAAAATTATGTACAAAATGTATAAAAACCATAAATATATGTATATATATGTGCTGTAAACAGTGCTGCTGCTTAAGTTTCGCTATAAAAACCGTATAGCATTTTGAAATATAATTTAGATATGTCCACATTACGGTAATAATAATATTGATCACCTCCATGGTATGTGGAACCAACCAACCAATCAATTAATTAATCAATAATAATTAATTATATATAATTAATTATATATAATTGAGGGTAAATGTATGACACAGTTAAGTCTAACGTTTATTATAAATGAGTAGTTCGCTTGAAATTGCTTGAATAAACGTTAAATAAAAAATAAAGATAATTATTCAATGGAAAAAAGGAGAGAAAAAGTGAGTGAGAGAGAGAGAGAGAAAGAGAGAGGAGAAAGGAAATGCTAAATTGCAAAAATGAGATATAGAAAATGAGAAAAAAGTGAGAAAGAACAAAAATGAGATAGGCGAGAGAGAGAGAGAAAGAGAGAGAGAAATAGGTTGAGCAATACAATGAAATATTTTCAACGCTAAGTTAATAAGAGAGATAGATAGATAGATAGATAGATAGATAGATAGATAGATAGATAGATAGATAGATAGATAGATAGATAGATAGATAGATAGATAGATAGATAGATAGATAGAAGGAAAAATATTTAAAAAAATGAGTAAAATGGAATAAAACAATAAGTTAAAATAATAAAAAAGAGACAAAAAAAGGATGGATGGTCGGTTAATTAATAATTAAGTGTTCAACCAATAATATTACTATCCTATTCTATCCATTACTTTGATTAACTTTTAAATGATAAATTAAATTTACAACACCAATGTATAAACATCAACAGATAACATTACAAATACATAAGAACGTACATTTAATTATTGTTTGAGTAGAGAACACTAGTTTTGATTAAACTGCCCTTTTGCATTGATTGTGTATAAAAATGATAACACAAAGACACACACACACATACCACACACACACACACACACAACACACACACAACATTCCTTGACTTGAAGACTAAGAAAAATTAAATAAATTTAATAAGATTTCATATAAATTTTTTTTAAATATGAAAACTTTTATGTAAAAAAAAAAACAAATAAATTTATGTAAATGATGTCACAGATCGTAAATAAGACTTACATAAACTGCTTCAGAACATTTACATCATATAAGATAAGACTGCTGTCCAATAATTTCAAATTTATACTTTGAAATTTACTTTATACAATGTTGAACGACTAGTATTAAGTAATATGTGTAAATAAGTAATATGCAAGAATTATAAGTGCTAGTATATAAATAAAACCTTTTGAATTTAATATTTAACGAATATATATGTAATGTCATATGTGTGTGTGTGCGTATGTATGTATGTATGTCTGTGTGTAACAGTAAAATAATGACAAGTGTATGTGTGTGTGTGTTTGTGTGTGTGTGTGTAACATAGTAAAATAATGACAAACGCATGTAAGCAGTATAAAATATCAGAGCAATGCATGCGTTGTTCAATTTGCAATTGAGTTTTTCAGTTTTTCGTACGACGAATTTCAGCTTTTTTCGGCAATCATTTGTCATCATCAGTGTTGAATACGGATATTCATAACAAAATAAATAAATATCTAAACGAAAATGCAAGAAATTAATAAAAATTTTGTTTATGAACAAAAATTCGTCGTACGAAAAATTGAAAAACTCAATTGCAAATTGAACGACGCATACAATGCTGAGATATTTTTAAACAACTGCACATCAGATAAACTCAACCTAATATTTATATATATATAGCAGAGTACAGAAATGACAAGAAATAAAATACTGATATATATTGCGTAAAAAAGTAAACCAGAAACATTTAAGCATTAAATATTATACAACAACATTAATAATCATTGATTAGTGCAATAATAATAATAATAATAAATGTAATGTGTGGTCTATGGCCTACAAAGTTTCACATGAATATATGTGAGCAGTGTATTACACAGACACACACACAGACACACACACACACATATATATATATATATATATATATATATATACACACATATACATGTAAATGTTGGTAATAGACCATAATTTTTACATGTATATGTTTATATTTATATGTAAAAACATATACATGTATGTATGTACATTTAACCGGATATGTTTACAACAGTAATATACATACGAATGTATTAAAAATCCAGTAAATTATTCCAATGGTGGCACTTTACCATAACGACATCAATATCCTACTCTATGTGACATTAATTATTATAACAATTGGTTACACAACTCGTTTACGCTGACAGGACTTTTACTGTAATCTTTCATTAAATTGGTAAAAAGTTGTCTCAGTAGCATAGCAGAAATATGGTTGATAACATTTATTATCTAGAAAACAAATTTTGCCACCTCAAATGAGGACGATTACTTAAATAACTGAGTATTTTTCATTTTTTAAATTTATTGATTAATTATATTAACTATTATTATTAGTTAGTAGTAGTAGTAGCAGCAGCAGCAGCAGCCGCAGCAATAGTAGTAGTAGTAGTAGTAGTAGAAGTAGTAGCAGTAGTATTTGCAACAGGTGTACAAGAAATGGAAGTTGTAGTAGTAGCATATGCACCTGAATTAGAAGTACTTATGGATGTTGAAGCAGGGATATTATTATTATTTTTGTTGTTGTTTTTATTATTATTTGTAGTAGTAGTAGTAGTAGTAGCGGAGGTAGAAGTTGTAGCCTCTGCAACAGAGTCACCTACCACCACAAAAACAATTTTAGAATCATCATCGAGAATCCCACCGACGTCGTTGTGATCATCGACATCTTCATAGTCCTCCTCGCCATCACGTGCAGTGTTGTAACTGGAGCAACTTAACTGGGTTTGGGTGGAGCTTATTAAATGAGGTTTCATCGACAGTAATGACACCATTTTATCATCAGTACTACAATCAAAATTATTATTATTATTATTATTATTGTAAACAACGTTCGGAGAATATGACGTCTTCTGGCGGTGTGATTTCGGGGGTTTGAGACAGAGTAAGCTAAGGGGGCGATTTTTCTTTGCAGGGCACACTTGCTGGTCATGTTGGGCAACATTTGTTGATGACCTGTTGTTGGCGGCGTCGTCGTTGTTGATGACTTTTTCCACGTTATTGTTGTTGCAGATCTTATTTTTGTTGACATTATTTTTTTCTAGACCACCTTTGTTTTCTTTCTTCAGTAAATTCAAGCTTGAAAAGTTAACAAGTCGGTTGTCTTCGATGTAAAAGTTTTCCCTTTGAGATAAACGACTTTTTGAATCTTTGTTAATCTTCTTTTCTTTCTTCTTCTTCCGATAAAACTCGCAGCCATCATCATCATCATCATTGAAGAAAAAAGATGAAAAATTATAATTAGGTAAGGAGTGTGTTGGACTGGTAGATGTTGATTGACAGCTCCTGGTACCCTTGCTAGTTGCTTTTAATTTTTTTTTCGTTTGTGACGTGGGGGGTGTTGTGTAACAATCGACAAAAACTTCTTCATCATCACTGCATCTCTGAGCTTCACCTCTCTTATCACGATTGTCACACTCTTTATTGGACTGGATCCCTCTTTCAGGGATGTGCGAATGATCGGAAATGAAGAAACAGTGTTGAAAGTGTTCTACACTTTTTTCAATACCCTCTCTGCATATTCTCTCGATCTCGCTGATAGATTTCGTCAGCTCCAAATCAAATTCATCATCGCAAATGTCATCAGTTGTCGACTGCATGCCTGACTCGTTGGGAAGAGGATGATGAGAGGGATGAGAATGACCTTTGCATGTTTCAAAATTAATGCAACCGATGTGTCTTGTACTAGAATGTGCTTGATTACTAATGTCATCTTCGCTGTCATAATTATTATTATTATTATTATTGTTGTTGTTTTTATTGTTGTTGTTGTTACCACATTTTGACGTCAAATTAATTTTATAATGAACTTTACAATTATGAAGTCTTCCAGATGCACCACCACCACCACCAGCAGCAGCAGCACTGTTGCCATCACCCTCCCTTACATCACCAAGCACTGGTCCTGGCTCAATTATGATTTCCCCATCAGACTGGTCCCCACTGCCATCCATTTCACCAACACCACCCACCACTCCTAATGAATTAGCATCAATATTGATAGGGATGTCGGTGTTGAAAATGGCCGATTCAGTTTTCAGACATTCAGCTTCGATGACTGTCATACAGTTTCCGACTTCAATGAGTTCGAGCAACTTGAGGAGGTACTGTTGTTGCATTTTGTATTGGTCCCTCAGTCTTGATATCTGCTGTAAGCCGTACTCTCTGATTTTGTTCACCTGTATCAGGTAGTTCTCTCTCATCTTCTCGATACGCTGGCACTTGTAATCCTTCAATCGACCACACCTGTTGTCATTTACATTTCAAAGAGTCAAATTGTGTCTGTATGTAAGTATAAGATGAACAGGACCATACAAATAAATACATTATATGACATTCGGGACAGAACCATTTTGAAATCGCAATAACATGTCAATATAACAATTACACACATTAACTAACAAAACAAAAACTTTTCATAACAACAACAACCAATGATGAAAATGACGTAATGAAGTCATAACTTTAACAAAATAAAAATGTCAAGTTACAATGGTACCTTGAATACTTTTTGCCTACCCAAAAAGTTGACACCATTAAATAGCAATTACGTATGATCCCAACCACACATCAACAAACACAGCAATATTAATCCTAGACAGCCACAAACCCATTTTCATAAGTTTCTCTGAGCCTGTCAACCTGCAGACTGCAGTTTTCCTTGATCCTGGTTGACTGGTTGTAGTAGTGCTCTCTCATCCGGTCCATGTGACTCAACACCGTCGTCACAGTTGATTGCTTGTATGTTCGCAGTCTGGTTTGCATAGGTCATGAATATTTCATTGCAAGAATTACAAGAATGTGACAGCACACATCATAACCAACATTATCATAGTTGACATATTCAAGTTTGGCATCAAATCCTTTCAACACAACTTATAAATTGATTGTAAAAATTTTAAATAATGAGGAAAATGATAGTAATAGTAAAAATAATAAACCTATCAATCCGAGCCAATTTGAAAGCAGAGAACTGATCCATGGTTGCAGACTTGAAGGCCAGAAGTTGATCCATCTTAGCAGATTTGTAAGCAGAAAGCCTATCCATCTGAGCTGATTTGAAGCCACTCATCTTCACGAGAATCTCTCTGATGCTCTTCTTCTTCCTCTTCGCCTTCTTGCTGCAGTTGTTGGCAGTGTAGCGAGCCACTGCAAGAATTATTGAGAGGAATGAAAAAGCAGCAGCTGTCAGAAAGCCTACGATGATGCTGCAGATGGTTGTGGTCGACAGAATGCTGTAGTCCAGTTTGATGATGACCGTAAAGTTGCTCATAATTTGCATGCTTGACCTTGTTAATAAAGTTTTGAGTTTTGAGCCAATAGCAGATGTTATGTTATTTGTGTGATTGTGAAAAGTGAATTCATCTTCAAAAGTGGTTGCATTTGAAGCTACGTAGCAAACAAATCTGCCAGCATCAGATGTCGACACATCTCTGATCATGAGGTTGTTGTTAGGCAGAATGCTGAATCTACTCAGTTGTGAATCATCATTATAACTATTATACAAACTGAGTGTAGTGTTGGAGTTTCTATAAAATGTTGTATTCCTATTGGTCACCCAAAACACCAAAAAATTTGATGGCAGTGGTGGTGAAGATGCCAAAGAAGAGGACAATGTTAAAAATAAAGATGAAGTCTCATTATCTTGTTTAGCCTTCCAACTACAAGGTACAACCAATGGTTTATTGACTCTTGCCAAGTAGATACCAGATTGAATAGATTGAATATACCTTGTACATCCCTGATACAACTCAAACAGAGAAGAATATTCAATGCTGTTGAAATCATCCACACAGGAAAACCCAATAAGTTTTGAAGCATTCTCCAATGATATGAGAAAATTGAATACTTTGAAGACTATACTCATTTCGTAACAATGACATTTGAAAGCATTCCCAGCAACGTTAATTAATGGAATTTGATGTCTTGAAATATTTTCCAAAAAGGTGAAGCTATTTAAATTGTTAAATTTCAGGTCTAAAAGAGAAAGAGAAGTCAAATTTTCAAACACTTCATTAGATATATATTTTAATTCTTTGTTATCCTCAATGATGACATTTTGTAAGCTATTTTGTAGTCGGCCTGTTATATTAGCTAAAAAATTTGAACTTTTTAACACGAGTATTCTCAAGTTATCAAAATTAGGTATAGAAATTGAAAGAAAATGATTAGCACTAATGTTTAAATATTCTAAGCTTGGCAGCATGTAAGTCAGTTTGAGAGATAGTGTAGTTAAATAATTGAAGCTAATGTCTAAAGATATCAGGTCATCAAGAATAATTCCATCTGCGAGTATTTCTCGAATGTGGTTGTGAGATATGTTGAGTCCACGAAGCCCTTGAAGTTCGGTGAAAGGTGAAAATTCCAAAACTTGAATCTCATTATAAGAGAAATCCAAGTTAAGTGTAGTGTTTGACGATGCAATGACAGTCGCATCCTTGCTACTAATCAAACCACTGTCACTAACAACGTCTTCTGACTGGACGGAAATGAGAACATCTCTAAGTGTAAGGTGTGATACATTTTTTAAATTCAACCCATAGCCATTACAATTAATAAATGACTGAGAGCCACCAGTCACTACGCATTCTAATCTCTGGCTTTTAGTTTTCACCAAGCCCAACCAAATAAATATTATAAAAATACACAATTTGACATCTAATTTGTGGAATTTCACGTCTACCGATGCGCCAACGTTTTGCATGTGTCCTTTTCCTTCCTCCGCATACCAACCAAACAAAACCAACAAACATTCAATATTCTAAATTTTATATTTATATATAATATAATAAATTTTTTTAAATTTAATTTCTGTGGTAAATGAGTTGA